ATGCCTGTTGTTTACTTGACATAGTACCATACGTCGTCTGTAAGTCTGCCAAAAGCCGAAATGGAACCAAAAAGGCGAAAACAAAATTGGAACCCGGCAGCTCTCGGTGTTTTAATTAAGGGGGTTGAACAGAATTATGGGATTCTGAAGGAACTATGCAGTGAACTATGTAATTTTACGACGAGTCCCCTTATCGCGTGTCATGTTGAAGCTTAAAGTTAAAACAAGACGATAATTCGTACGTTTACCTGAGTTTAGAATCAGCTGTTGCTTGAACATTAATGGAAGGAAACCCTTTCTTGCAGACGAACAGCGGCTCATTTTCTCCCGATGGTGCTATGATGGCAACTTGTGTACCATCAATCGTTCCCACTACATTTGGGAAGCCTGCTATTTGGTGAAAACCTTCCTTTGTAGAATTGATATCTTCCATGGAATAGGGGAAATTTATTGATAATTTATCGTCAAAAAGGTTGTTATTGCTCGTGAAACACGATAAATTACTCTAGACACTGATGGTACACTCATCCCATGTGCATCAGCAATGAGTTTTTGGAAGCTACCTGTGGCATAGTATCGTAATGCAATCAGGACTTGTACAGGTGATGACAAGGATTTCGATCAGTAAGTTGCGGTTTTTATATCATCATTATTAATAATAATACAGTTAATAAGATGTTATATATTGGTCCGATCAAGTTTGTACCGCGAAACTAACTCATCTGTATGGGTGTCGAGAGGGTTTAATCTATCCCAGAATATTCTCTCTCGTCGAAGTTGCCGATCCGCAAAAAGTAACAAGGCGGCCATTTTGTCAAAGATACGAAAAAAATTCCAACTTACGACAAGGTGAGAGTTGCCGTAGACTTTACGATAAAAGTTACGAATTTCGTAAGTTAAAAATTTTAGTGAAACGCGATTTTTACGTAAGTTTACGTTACGATAAACTTACGCAAATTTTTCATCGTAAGTTGCTTTGTGAAACTGCCCCCAGATCTAATTAATATAAAGAACAGACTCCGATCTTTGTTTACAGAATTGATTTTGAAATTCTATTAACTTCCAAATATATACTATTCAAAAAAAGTAGGGGATATTTGATTTTGGGGGCATAATACTAAAATATGCAAATGACTACGAAAAAAGTCACTATAGAACCTAACAGAAGAAACATTTCCAGTTACATGTGACGCCCAAACGCACCAATAGCTACCGCATGGAATGCAGGTGATGCTTGGGATCATCATGGGGGTCCAACCCAAGATTTGCACGACTCTGACTTTGAATGTTACAGTCATTGTGGCATTGAATTCCAGGGTGGAAACATCAGTTTAATTGTTTTAGTGACCAGAAAACAAATTTTGATATGCGTCGGCTTACCCAAAATGAAAGGTTACGTGCCCTTGGCATGCTACAGATCGGCACAACACAGGCGGTTGTGGCGCGGACGATGAATGTTTCTCAGTCTGTCATAAGCAGGCTATGGTCCAGATACCGTGATACACAATCTGTACAGGACAGACCACGCTCAGGTCGACCAAGGGCGACAACTCAAGCCCAGGATCGATTTATCCGTACCTTGGCCTTGAGAAATCGTGTCATCACAGCAAATCAGATCAGCGCTCGTCTTCAAACAGACACTGGTGTGAGAGTGAGTGGCCAGACGATTCGGAATCGACTGCATAGGGGTCACCTTCGCGCCCGACGTCCTCGCGTGATCCCTTGTTTGAGAGATCATCACATTCAGGCAAGACGTCGTTGGTGTAGGGATCGTCAACACTGGGATAATCGACGCTGGAGCAATGTGATGTTTTCAGATGAGTCAAGGTTCACTGTTGATTTTTTGGACAGACGTAGGAGGGTGTGGCGTCGTCGAAACGAGCGCTTCCAAGACGTTAACGTCATGAGACATGATCGATTTGGGTGTGGTTCTGTTATGGTGTGGAGAGGCATCACTGTTGCTGGAAGAACGGCTTTACATGTTGTTGCAGGGCGTGTTACAGGCCAGTACTACCGGGACAACATCTTGGCAGTCCATGTTGTGCCGTTCGCACGACGTCATGGCCGCCGTTTCATCTTCCAGGATGACAACGCAAGATGTCACAGGGCCAGGATCGTTACAGGTTACCTCCAACAACAGAACATCACCACATTACCTTGGCCAGCACTGAGTCCCGACCTCTCCCCCATCGAGCATGTCTGGGACATGCTTGGACAGAGGTTACGTCAACGTCAACAACGTCCTGCCAATGTCCAAGAATTGCTGCTGCGTTGCAACAGGAATGGGACAATCTGGACCAAAATGACCTTAGACGTCTCATTAGGAGTATGCCACGTCGGATCAATGCTTGTTTGGCAAACAGAGGAGGATTTACCCGTTACTGACTTGGTTGTGATGCTGTGGTAACTTTGCTGTTTGACCCCGGGTATCATTTTACCCTTATAATGGTCAGTCGGTGCCTTACTTAGTCTAACGATCATTTGGAATAAATCGATGAATGTGAACTTCATTTCATTTTGTCATTTGTTTCTTCGTCAGTTTCATTAGGTGACTTTAATAACACTTAAAAATCAAATATCCCCTACTTTTTTTGAATAGTTAACGTTTAAAAATTATACGAATAATGCTTTATATAAAACAATTGTAGAACTCATTTCGGGGGCCCTTTAATATTGGGGCTTTTAACTGAAGCCCAGCCCCCCCCCCCCCACCCTTCTGTTTCGGTTATGAAAAGACAATGTCTGAATGAAGGTTTTCATACAGTGCTTAAGGCCATAAAAATTTAAAGGACTTTTATTTTTTAAAACATGTTGGTCCTAATGATAAAGATTCTAATGCTCCGGGTTTTGTTCATGTAAACGGGATTAGTTCCAGATATAATAAAGATTACGGCTATTCTATGTGTATATGGATTCTCCTCACAAATTCAAAAATATTCGAAAGACACATCCAATGTTCAGTATGCATACCAATCTGGATTTAGATCAGACCATTCATGTGCTACTGCATTAATCCGAATGATAGATAATTGGCTTACCGCTATTGATAATTGTGCGATAAGTGGTATAGTGAACATGTATCTTAATTGTAGCAAGGCATTTGATCTCATTGATCACAAGCTTATTATCGAAAAAATACATCTTTTTCGATTTGATAAAAATTCACCAATTTTGATTGAATTATATCTTGCGGGGTCCCACAAGGGCCGAGCCTAGGCCCTCTCCGTTTCCACTCAATATTGAATCAAGTCAGATTTGTTTGCTGATGACATTGCCAATAATCCTCAAAATAATCTGCACTTGGTTGCTGTTGGTGTGAAAACAGTGGGATGGTAATCAATTCTAGGAAAACAAAATCAATGCTGATTGCATCAAAACACAACAGACATCAGAACAACCTGCATTTATCACTTCATGGTGAAAGCATTGAGACGGTTACCTGGAATTCAAATTGACAAATACTTTGATTTGGAAACACAGATATCACAAATATCTAACTAATCAAAACTTGCATCAAAAATATTTCTCCTGAATAAGAAAAAAGGAATTTAACTCATAAGACAAGAATTTTGTTTAGTTACATGCTATCGATATTTGACTATTGCTCTATTGTATGGTGGTGGTGGGAGGGGGGAGGCACGGTGGGTAAGACGCCAGATCGCTTCGCTTGCCCGGTGGTCGAGAAAGTTCATCGGGATTTTCCAGCGTGGTTTCCCATTGTCAGTGTTGCAGGAGGGAGGGACTGGCAAGGACAGCTGTCTAGTATACATTACCGTGCACATAAAAGATTCCTTGGCAGTTGGAATTCGATATAAGAGTAGGCCATAGTGCCGCTGCCCGGGAAAATTTCCCTCACAGCACACTTTTTGGCGTATTCCCGTCTTCATTAGCCTAGTCGGTGCAGAACAGTGGGACGTTAAACCCCAGTTCATTTCATTCCTATTGTATGGGGAAATGCAACAGACAACAAGGATTCTTTATAATAAAGCTTATACATTTTATCTCAATTCCTATTTTAATGAAAATTCACTTGTTTCAAAAACAAGTTACTCCCCTTTCCTTCCAAACTGCATGTCTTTTATTGAAAAATCTACCCTTTGATGTAAAAATGTTGAAAATATTAACTTTTAACTTGAAAACGCAATTATATTTAGAACTGAAGAAACCATAACTTTTTTTAAAATTTTTTATTGTTTGGGGAACGGGTGTGTGGTTTTTTTTCATCCTTTATGTCACATGTATATATGCAGCTTTAAATTGCATCTGCGTCTTTATGAGTTTATAAATAGAGGATATTTGTCGTTTTGTCGTGAATAACATATTTTATTTCATCGAGAAGCAAGAAAACTTATATTTTCACGAATGCGTGAAATAAAATATGTTATTCACGACAAAACGACAAATGTTCTATTTATTTTATGATTTTACAATCATTTTAGGTAAAAACAACTAGCCAGTGGAATAACACTTTTATTTCACTGATAAAACGCGGTATTCCACTACTGATCATAAAATAAATGATTTTATTCTTCCTTTATATTACATGTATATACGTTTTATAGTTTAGGGGTGATGGGGGGGGGGGGTCGTATTAACCCAAACTTCTCACTTTAATTGCTATTGTATTTCAAATTATTCTGCCTATAAATATTTGTATTCATCCCTGATGTTACATGTAAATATATTGTGTAGTTTAGGAGGGTGGGAGTGGGACTTGTGGAAAGTTGTTGCAAACTATAAGTTGCCTCATTAAATAAAGTGATTATTATTATTATTACTACATTAGAGGGCTGTCCTTGTCAGGCCCTCCCGTCCTTTACAACTGAAACGAGGAAATCCGGCCAACACCTTCAGCGAAACCGAGACCTCCAGGCTAGCTAGTCAGCGTCTTACAAATTGAGCCACCGCGGCTCCCCTATTTATTAGCAAGTTGAACCGCTAGGATCTATAACAGTATATTGGGATATTGATTGATGATTAATAAAAACAAACACCAAGAGAATTATTGATCAGTTTGTTTACATTGGGTATGGTTTTCAATTAACAATACATCCGATCATATATAGTCATGTCTGGAAGCAATCTGATCACAATACAGATCTATATTTCGTTTCGTTTTTTTATACTTTCGATGGCCTACACTACATGAAGATCTGACAAGTTATAGCGATAGGTCACGTCAGGGGTCAAAATACCGACTTTTGACCTATGACGTCAGACATTTGATTAACCAATCAGCATTGATGTTACTAGTGGATTACCCACAGTTCCGGGGGGAAAAAAGGTCAAACACTCGATTCGACAGACCATTTGATTGGCTGACCCTTCATTTCAAGTAGAACACGAGTTAAATAACAAGTCTTCCAGATCCAAGTGTGGTAAAGACAAGTAAAACGAAATTTTGAACTATAAAAACGACACGAAATAGGATCTGTGTTTTAATTAGATTGGTCTCGAAGGTATAGGATTCAATTTTCAAATCTAAGAAAAATCCATATTTTTGGTTCCACTGACCTAAAGTGTTGTTACTTATTCTGAGTTCAGAGAATTCGAAGTTTGTTTGCAATATCACACTTATTTGAAAAGTATATGTTGTCAATAACAACCACCAATGGCATCTCCCTTTGTCTTTTGTGAGTTCACATATTTTTATGTCAAGCACTTTGATATTTTGAGGTGTCATTTTTAGCTGGAGTGATCAAAGGACAAAGCACCACAAAGAGCATGTTCCCGAAGCAACTGCTGCGAGAGTTTAGAACATCTGGGTGTTGCTTGATTACTTTGCAATTCCCGAACTTATAGCTACGTTTTCTCCCTTTACTGCAGACATGTGAACAGTGGCGTCCAGTCAGAAATTGTGACACTAACGCACTTAAATCAAATATAGCGACCTCCACGGAAACCTTGACATTGAACGAACCTTGAACTTTGCAACTCGATTATCACAGGTAGACATTTTAGCAGGAAAGCGCGAGACTTGACATTCGCGATGATCGAGGAATCTGATAGGCTCTCAAGCTGGGTGACTACCCAATCGAAATTAGTGCCGAAATACGCAGGATATTACGTAAAGGCCTTGATAAGATGTTAAAGCGAGATCAAGCCTTTTATTGAAGATGTACAAACAGGGGACTCCTCTAAAGACTACAAAAAGCCCCCAGTACCTGCCCATATGTTATTACAGGATTAGAAATATCTTCAGTCACCTTCCATCACTTAGCTACCTTCGGGTTTATAGACAAATTCTGTGCTAGATGCCGTGGATTTGTTTTCGTCTTTTAATTTATCCCTTTTTCTTTTCTTCTTTAATTTTCGTTTTTGGTTTTTCGTTAATTTGTTTTGAGAATTGACTAAAGATTTAGCCTCAATAGGATTTCTGTCGGGTTTTACTTCTTGCGCTATCTTTCTCTTTCTTCGCCTTCTCTTTGGTGCCGGACCATCGTCACCTAAAGACAACAAAATTCTCATGGTTAATAGTTTGAAATATTGCAAAATCAATTTTCAAAAAATATTACAGATGTTTAAAGGGTGTATGGCTTTAATCTTTGAGATCTTAAAATAGACAAAAATGGGTCTAAAAGAACATATTAAAAAGTATATTTAAAAATATTGTTATTTCTAATCAGTCATATTCTTTGAATGGCATTTAGTAATTGGAACATAATCAAATAACACACAATTTATAGATAACAATTACTATGATTTATTTCACTGTGACATTTCAACAAGATTTCACAAGTCGTTTTCAAGCATATAACACAAAAAGTGAAATAAACCATAGTAATTGTTATCCATAAATAGCGTGTTATTTGATTCTAATCAGTTATGTTAGGTGAATAGGTGAACAGTCTAAATTGAACGACAGTCGTTTTTACGCTTGCTTAGTCCATTCTACACTTTTTGTTCTGCATCAGCCATTACTAATTACTTCCGCGTTGTCTTGTAGGATATGGTATTCTTTCTTCACTACAAATGGCGCCCGAAACCATGGAATACATGACTCGTGTACAGGTTATAAAATGTTCATTGTGTATTAAATATTGGATAGTAGCTTCCCATATTTTCACGGCAAGATAACAATATCAATATGGATTTAAATGGACCAATATTGAATTCTAATTCATGTTTTTAATTTCGACTATTATAGAAAATATTGATAAGGTCACGTTCTATATGAAGAATCGATGTGTTATTTTTTTTAAACAATCTATTATATTTTTTTTTTCGCCTTTGTAAATGAATAACGCTTCGTGGATTTGAATACCTACATTATTAATGCGGCCTTTTACATTCTACTAAACGAGTTGTAGAAATAGCTCGCTTGTAACACAAAAGTATTGAAAACCTTATTGACAATAGTGACGTCATTTTCTACAGATGGTAAAATATGTATTTTGATAATTTTAAGATTTGCAATTCTATCGAATTGATAAATAATAATATATACATAGGCGTACGGGGAATTTTTTGACTGGGGGTGGGGGGGGTGGTTGTGCCCAAAAAATGTAGTTAGGTTCTTAGTATGTTACATAATAATAATAAATTCGCTGTTAAATTGGACACATTCAAGAATGCAATATTATTTTATACAACTTTTACAAAGTACAATTGTGTGCACAAATTTTCCCAGCATTTGGTGCCCAAAATGGGGGGGGGGGGCCCAGCCCCCCCCCCCCAGCTCGTACGCCTATGAATATATACACACGGCTGACCCCCCCCCCCCCCCATCCATAGCACGCTCAATCTGATTAAAACACAGATCCTATTTCGTTTCGATTTTTATAGTTCAAAATTTCGTTTTACTTGTCTTTACTACAATAGGAACTGGAAAAGTTGTTATATAACCAGCGTTCTGGTTAATGTGAGGGATAAGCCAATGAAACGGTCTGTTCCAGCGAAATTTTTGGCGTGCGCTGCATGGAACTGTGGGTATCCCATTATAAACATTGATTGGTCCCTCGTCATAGGATAAAAAGCCGCTTAGTAACTCTATAGCAAATAATCTTCATGTGAAAGTCAATACACTATAGTGAACCGACAGAACAAGCGACATATCTGTATTATGATCGATATGGCCACGAAAATAAAAATTGTTATTGTTAACGTTGTTTTTTTTCGATATCACGTATGTGTTCTTTCCGTTCATTAACTTTCATATGAAGATATTTATTATTCTATAAAATATCACCTATATGTACTTAACCCACCAAGGGGTTGGGTGGTTCAATGGGTGCTTTAAGTGAAAGGGTCTGTCACTGAGTGGACTGGCACGGTTTCGACCAAGCTTGTACACGTGGGTTTGCGCGCAAACGAATTATAGAAAATAAAATTAAACCATATGTTAGTTTCTGAAACGACCTAGTTTGTGTCGAAATGACATGAAATGACATGAAATGGGGTTTAACGTCCTACTGTTCTGCTCCGACTGGGCTTATGAAGACGGGCATACGCCATGACGTGTGCTATGAAGGACATTTTTCCCGGCCAGCGGCTCTACGGCCCACTCGTATATCGAATTCCAACTGCCAAGGGATCTTTTACTGGTTTTTCGTCTCATCCGAACGACTAGACAACTGTCCTTGTCAGGCCCTCCGTCCTGCACCACTGACAAGTGGTAACCACGCCGGAAAAACCCGATGAACTTTCTCGGCCAACACTGAGCGAACCCACAACCTTCATCGTCTTACTCATTTAGCCACCGTGGCTCCTGGTTTTTGTCGAATGGAAGTCTCTCCCCCACCTCCCAAACAAACCTACCACTTGTGTCGGACTGGGAGGAAGACACAGTCTGTGAATTCGTCAAATGGAAATCATAATATCCTGGCGGAAGCTTGTAGTCCGCATCTGGAGGTTCCACGCCATATATTGTAACCGGATTTCTCACGTCCGTGTCAGTAATATCAGCATCGAGTTCTTCGATTTCCACTTCATCATCACGTGCATACAACTTTTTTATCACTTTATCACGAAACCCTACAAATATAGTAAAGTAAATATATCGATTTTTGTTAAAATCTGCCTATTGCAGGTCTTTTTTTCAGGCCTGAAATGTTATAAAGTAAATTCTTAATTAGACGTCAATTAACTTATCCAGACGATAATCAACTCTCTGTGCCATCGTTAACCTGCCATATCTAGTAGATTTGAAAACATTGTGTGGTAAATAATTTTACGTAAAACTGGATAATCGAGACTTTATTTATTATCGTTCCAACGTTAGTAATGAAAATCGGGGCTAGCCTAAAATTGGATCGCTGGTATACCTGTTCAGAGTGAAGTAATTTGACTGAAATTTTCAGCACATTCTTTTTTCAGTATCTATTTTTAATCTGTCAGTTCTTTATCCAATCTTACATAATGTGCCTTTAACGAGTAGTATTTCAATTCATCACACATATACAGAACATCATATAGGCGCCAATAGAAGACAATGTGCGCAAATTAAGAAGACATGAAGCAGGTAGAATACAATACCTTCATAGATGTTTGGATATGGATGTTTGAAAATCAATTTTACTTATGTACACTGCACAGAGTTTGATTTCTCCAGCCCGACGCTGTGTTCATATTGGCTACTTCTACATGAGCAAATTAGCGAATGTGGGACACTGTCACTATATTACTTTACTACACATATTTGGAAATTGAAATGAAATGGGGTTTAACAAAACATTTTAGGTGGTCTATTCCCTGTGCCTAGGGGAGCACATACATTTACATCGCAATGTATTATAACCACGCAGGCAATGAGCAAATCTTGTGCAATAAATATCAGCACCGATGGGAATCGGTATGGTCTAAGCAGCGTGTTTTGTCGGGAATACTGTCACCGATGACAACTCGAGCCGTCGGTGATGGTTAATCATTGATGTGCTGGGCCAATTCAGAAAAACAAGACGTGTTGCGAATGCAACAGGTAAAACCGATTTCGAAACTGGAAAAATGAAATGGTTCGAAGTTGTCGGGAAGCTGCATATACTAAATAAATGGAGTTGAGCATCAGAAAAATGTGTTACCCTTATCTTTTTCCATTGTGAAATCCTTGCTCAACAATAATTTAACATTAAAACTAAAAAGATGGATGCATCCTCTGGCCAATGTACCATGGGACGTAACTCTTATGGAAACTAATTCACTCAGCACACCGCGTCCAGCCAACAAAGACAAATTAACGCACATCCAACATCCGAAATTTGATAGAGAGAGAGAGAGAGAGAGAGAGAGAGAGAGAGAGAGAGAGAGATGGAGTTTAACGTCCACTCGACACAAACTAGGTCATTTCGGGACTAACATATGGTTCAATTTTATTTCCATAATTCGCTTGCGCGTAGGGGTCTTTAGCGGCTGGAGGAAACCGGATCAGAAATTCAAAACTAGGCCTATCGGTGTCCTAGATTATGTCTACTCCGTGGGTCTAGCCGCCGTACTTTAAATGAAATCAAATCAAGAGTGCAACAAAACAAATGACATTAAATCCAATGTTCCAATGATTAAGATGAGATAGTCTGTAAACCCGTAAATTGCTGATTTTGTATAACGAACAAGATCTAATAATGAAAAAGATCTAATGAACAGGCGGGGGGGGGGGGCTCTTCCCCGTGCGTAGAGAGTCGATAAATGTGTCAGCGTCCAAAATCGCAACATAGCTACGCGATATTTTTCATTTGAGAGGTGGGGTGCAAAAACTGAAAGGGATGTGTCTTTGAGCCCCCTTTACGTCGTCCCTGGAATCACTTGAAATGGGCGTTTTACAATCCAAAGCCAATTAACGATGCACAAATTATTCTCTAAATTATAGAGAAATGGGGTTTAACGTCCACTCAACCCAACTATATCATTTCGGGTCTTACGGGTTTAGGCAGGCAGTCCTACTCCTTGTCAGTAATGTGGAATCGGAACCACGCCTTTTGTCTCAAAGCGCACGCTTTTTACCATTCGGCAAGACGGCAACCTAACCCAACTTCACAATTCAACTACCCTTTAATGTAGAAATAAAATAATTAATGTTTACGTGCACGCTCATGTGTATACATGACCTCTGCTTTCGTCCCATACAAACAACTAGACATCTGATTTGCAGTAATCATCTAAAAATTATATAGCCTGGACAGCGATACAGGGCGCGACGTGTAAATGAAAACGAACAGAACAAAAACCATGATACAACTTACAAGAGATTAACCTGTATCGACTATCTTTATGAGCTTTATTCATGATTTTGCGGAAGACTTTTAATAGTTCAGAGATCCGTCAAAACACATGCACGTGATGACCCCGAACTGTTCTCACGTGTAGGTCAAACTCTAACTCTACCTGAACTACTGTCATTGAAATAAAATGAATCGTGATATAAACATGGTCTATGATACCTGAAGTTATGGCTTTCTATATGGAGTGATAACTTTGCTATTCAAATTATGTTTTATATGGACATATATTATATACTTATATATCTAAATGTGAACACTAATACGAGATATGCCCGCAGATGTAAACAAAGTTTCAGAAATTCTTATGGTGAGTGAAAGTTGTTTTGTTTTAGACGATTTTGAAGTTTTACCCCAAACCCCGTTTGAAGACCTTGCTTCAAGATTTTTAAATAAAGACGATTACGACTTGGGTAAATTATTAGGCGCTGGTGGCTTTGGTAGTGTCTATTTGGCTTCCTACAAAAATAAAATCACGGCAGTAAAAACTTTACATAAAGTAACTAAAAATCCGAAAGCGCAAATGGAAAGCTACAAAGCCGAGTTGAATGTGTATAACTGGAAGCATCCCAATATCGTGAGAACGGTAGCGGCAACGAGTATAGAACAATATGATACCGGTGCCTGGATCGTCATGGAGTACATCGGTTCAAGGAATTTACAGATGCTTATTAATGATACCGAAGAGGAGTTGGACCAGCAACGAAGATTGAAGTACAGTTTGGAAGTTGCTAGTGCTCTTGAGTTTACTCATAGCAACCACATTGTGCATCTCGACCTAAAGCCAGCAAATATTCTGCTCACAGAACGGGACAGTTGTAAACTGGGTGATTTCGGCTGCTGTCAACGAGTTGAAGAAGACACTGGACGCGTCAGTCCCACAAATCGTTCGGCTCTGACCGGAACTTTCGCATACAGAGCACCTGAATTACTTCGAGGTGGCGCACCGACTTTAGTTGCAGACGTGTATTCTTACGGCGTTACCTTATGGCAGTTGTTGAGTCGAGAAACACCCTATTCAAACCAGAATCAACATGTGGTCATATTTAGTGTCGTGTCAAAACATCTGCGACCGCCACACCCGGATGTTGGTGACGACCCATTCGAACTGCTATATCAGGAACTATACACGCAATGTTGGTCAGCAAATCCAGAGACGAGGCCAACATCACGTGATCTGGTGGAACTATTAAAACAGTGGAAATATTATATGTGATAAGTGCTAAAGTGATCGAACCTGGATAAATTGTTAAACGGGTCGACATTGGAAATAATAATTGCATAGTGCCTATAGAGATATTTTCTGAGTGATATTGGTGACAGATTCCAGTACAGTAATTTGTATTGAAATGGAATGATCTTTGTGTGATAATTCAGTGATGTATATGAAAGATTTTAAAAGTGAAAACGCCACGAACATTGTTATGTAAACTCTTCTTCCATCCAATGGCAATTTGTGCTGCAAGAAACCGTATTTGTACTACAGGAAGTCAGGTTCGAAATCTTCGAATTTATACAGCTATTAAAACATTCCGTCCTTTTTACTTTCGGTTTTCTTCCCTTTTTGAAGGCACTTTTGTAACTCTTTTTGAGAAGTGTCTGGTTTAAATGGACATTTTGTTTGCAATAACTTATACAATGGTTATGTAATGACAGTGTTGATTTTGAACGATATTCTTTTTTTGACGCTGATTCATGATTATCGTTGTTGATGGGAAACGTTTTTACAGAGCAACGAATCATTCCATCCATCCAGAAAGTGCTTGTGTTGTGTACATATATTTGTCTATATAATTTTGCATAGGGTATGCTTATGATAATCGCAACCCTATATTGTAAATACATGTATATTAAGGTGATCATTGATTGTATAGAGTGATATATATAATTTTTTCCATGGATTTTATTGTGTTTTTGCAAACATGGATTTCCTTATTTATTGTATATATATTTTGTAAGAAAATTAATATATATTATATTATATTGTATCATAAATATGTCTGTGAAGTGTTTTCCATCCATGATATACTATTTAGATAATTTATTATATACGTTAATTGATCATGACGAGTGTTTTAGAATAAAATATACTGTATACGGATATTTTGTCAACGATATTACCTCTTAAGCTAACATTAGGCCTACATAAAAAAAAATTGAAAAAAAAATAAAATGGCTTTTTCCTTCTGTGTATTTGCTGCATTCACTTTCTGTATTAAAGTAACTGGACGTCATTTATATAATTATATTTTTCAGAAAATATCAAATTTCTCACGGCGTAACTCACACTATAATGACTGCCGGTACTCAGATTGATTATTTAACATTTAAGAAAACAAAATGTGACAGCTAGATGATCTTCCTGTTTGGATTCAGATGGATTAGAAACATACCCTTCAATTAGATTATGGGTGGTGGATGGCCGAATGGTTATCACGTGCGTGCTGTATCATAAGGTCTGTCATTAAGTCAACTGGCGTGGTCTCGAATCCTCGGTTGTACGTGACAAGGAGTGGGGTCGCCTGTCCAACCTCGTGGGTTTTCCCCGGGTTCTCCGGTTTGACCCCACTGCTAAAGACCCCTACGCGCAAGCGAATTATTGAAATAAAATTGAACCATGTGTTGGTCCCGAAATGACCTACTTTGTGTCGAGTGGACGTTAAACCCCATTTCTCTCTCTCTCTCTCTCTCTCTCTCTCTCTCTCTCTCAATTAGATTGTAGTTTGTAAGGGATTCCCGTATCGCTCAAATCACACCCGGAGACTTTGCTATTTTTAAGAGATAGGTTTTAATTTATGTATAATCCTTCATTCATATTTTCCGGCGTGGTTTCCCCTTGTCAGTGATGCAGGATGGAGGGCCTGACAAGGACAGCTGTCTAGTCGTTCGGATGGGACGAAAAACCAAGGTCCCGTGTACACATTGGCGAGCACGTAAAAGATCCCTTGGCAGTTGGACTTCGATATAAGAGTAGGCCGTAGCGCCGCTGCCCGGGCAAACTTTCCCTCATAGCACACTGTATGGCGTATGCCCGTCTTCATTAACCCAGGTTAGGAGCAGAACAGTGGGGCGTTAAACCCCTTTTCATTTCAATTTCTGTACAATCCATTTGAATGGTAGGCATGGTATTTATAGATCTACAATGGGTGTTGACCAGAAGAGATATAATTTGGCATACGTTTTAAACTGTAAATAATGGAGTTACTCCCCTTTTTACGTTTTCACCTTGAAAGCTTGTGAACTCGAAATGTTGAACTTTTGTGATGTGAACTTAATGGGATTGTTTTTAAAATTGGAAGTAGGGTCGCCTGTCCAACCTCGTGGGTTTTCTCCGGGTCCTCCGGTTTCCTCCCACTGCTAAAGACCCCTACGCGCAATTGTTGAAATAAAGTTAAACCATATGTTAGTCCCGAAATGACCTAGTTTGTGTCGAGTGGACGTTAAACCCCATTTCTCTCTCTCTCTCTTTTAAAATTGGAATTGGTTTAGAGTGTTCAGTCGTAATATACTATCACTTTTTCCTTTCCTGTTAGTTTTGTTGCGTTTTAAGTTCTCTCTCTCACACACACAGCTTGTGAACTCGAAATGGTGAACTTTTGTGATGTGAACTTAATGGGATTGTTTTTAAAATTGGAATTGGTTTAGAGTGTTCAGTCGTATCACTTCTACGTTTCCTGTTAGTTTTGTTGCGTTTTAAGTTCTCTCTCTCACACACACACAGCTTGTCGCGCAAAGGACTATGCCATTTGCGCAAAGGACTGTGCCATTTGCGCAATGGTGGATGTTACGGTCAATATCTGGTCGAAATACATAATGAGCACAGAGATCCATCTATTTCGAAAATTAATGAACTAATTAATGTACTATTATGTGATTCGGTTCTAATCCGTTTGACAACTTTCATACGCACAACGACTAAATAAACATTTTTAATTTCATTAAATATGAAAATAGAAGAGTAGTTAATTTCTTAAAGTATACATAGTGTTTTCGGCTAAAATCGGCGATGTAGGAATTAAAATGTCTGTCAATTAGGTTAGGGCCTGTTCTCAAGTGGAGCTGACTGTAGCAAGGCCTTAGTTTTGGGTGGTCGAAATGTTGTCATTACTTGATTTGTGTGACCCGTTGCTAAGGAAAGTATACAGGCATTATTATTTAAGAAGCCGCAAACGTACATCAAATAAATAATAAGCTTGAAAAATGGTCATTTATTTTTTCTTTTTTCTTTTGAATATATGCCTTCACTAGAATAGAAACGCCAACGTGATTGTATAGAAACGTCTTATCCACATTCATCTATTTGTCGATTCTCTAAAAACTGGCAATATTCCTCTTGTGAGTCTTCATTTATTTATATCGCTTTGGGGTTCCCATAATACTACACTTGCCAAACTACTCTGCTGATCAGTGTGTTGCCAAACTACTCTCGTCACCGGACTGGCAGACTGATGGGTTTTTTTTCGGGTTGGTAGAAAAAAGGCTAGAGGCGTGGACCGATCAATTGGAAATTTAAAATGTAACTAATGTTTTTTAAGACTATTGTTTTACATCTTTCCGAGCGGCCGTCGTTTATACATATATATATACAATCAAAGATGTCTGTATGTATTGTATGTGTGTATGTTCGCCAATCACGCTTCGTCGCCGCTCTCCACATCCGAATAGTGGTATCAAATTAACCAGCATAACCCCATGAAGGATTTGGCCACTGGCGAAATTTTGGCCACTGACGAAATTGGGTCCCAACCGAATTGGACCTCGGATGAATTTGGGCCCCGGGCGTAGCCGGATATCCTGCTAGTATAAACATAAAATGCACATATCACTAATCAAGCTTAAAGGCAGTTTAATGGTGCTTTTTACAAATTGCAGTTTTAGTCCACTTTGTCGTAATCGGGGTTTGTTCTCTGGAAGATCGTAAGGAAAGGTAACAAAAAATTGTTAGTCTCGCTTTAAGCCCCTTCAAAGTGTATTTTGTTCATTCAGATTTTCCGGCGTGGTTCCCCCTTGTCAGTGATATGCAGGACGGATGGCCTGACAAGGACAGCTGTCTAGTCCTTCGTATGAGACGAAAAACCGAGGTCCCGTGTATACATTGGAATGCACGTAAAAGATCCTTTGGCAGTTGGAATTCCATATATGAGTAGGCGATAGTGCCGCTGCCCGGGCAAAATTTCCCTCATAGCACACTGTATGGTGTATGCCCGTCTTCATTAGCCCAGCACAGGAGCAGAACAGTAGGACGTTAAACCCCATTTCATTTCATTTCATTTCATTTCATTTCAAAGTGTATTTTGCACCCGCGCCAATCGTTTTCAAAAACCCTGTATCCGCTCATGAGCCACATTATATGTAGTAATGAAGTTCAGCATCTGAACATGAAGGTTCTCGTAACGCAAAAGGGAGAGCAAGAGGATCCATATAAAGAGTTTTGTGTATCGATGGGCTGCTGGGCAGGACCGGTTTTTGGCACTGGAATGTATTCATATCCTGTAACTTCGGACCTCCAAAGTTGGACCCCGCATTTTCTCCAACAATCAATGCTGCTGAGACTTGGGGGCAAATAGAATTTGAATTTATTAACATGCTAGCTACGTTTCGATACACCACAGGAATCTGACCTTCTATCCGTATATATATGCATACACCATGTCGTACCAGACAATATATTATATATTGTCTGGTACGACATGGTGTTTGCATATATATACGGATAGAAATGAAATGAAATGAAATGGGGTTTAACGTCCTACTGCTTTGCTCCGAACTGGGCTAATGAAGACTGGCATACGCCATACAGTGTGCTATGAGGGTTATTTTTCCCGGACAGCGGCACTACGGCCTACTCTTATATCGAATTCCAACTGTCAAGGGATCTTTTACGTGCACGCCAATGTGTACACGGGACCTCGGTTTTTCGTCTCATCCGAATGACTAGACAGCTGTCCTTGTCAGGCCCTCCGTCCTGCATCACTGACAAGGGGGAACCACGCCGGAAAATCTGGATGAACACCCGCCCTCCAGGCTCGCGAGCCAGCGCCTTACCCACTTACCCACCGTGATCCCCATATACGGATAGAAGGTCAGATTCCTGTGGATACACATACACATACTTGATAACGATATATCTGTATGTGTATCGAAATGTAGCATGTTAATAAATTCAGAGGTAGTATACCCATATAAAAAATAAGTGTCTTTAATTTAATAATAATTGCCTCTAAGCCAATGCGAAATTTATTAATGTTTTCCACATCTATTTTATTTGTCTTCATCCCCCGATGACATTTCAATTACTTCAAGTATTACTGGTAAAGCTCCCAGTCTCACTTATTGCCTTTTTTTTTTCTCTTCTCTCTTTTGTAAAGCCAAGTCGAGGTTGCATCGCCTGAGATCAGTAATAGACAAATCCGACTGCAAGGGGATAACGCAACAGCATGGTACGTAAAATCATATAAACAGCTGATTTGGGTCTTATCTGGGATTATCTTACTTAGTAAACAAAGGGGCGTGATATATTATGTATATTGAACTTTCATGCTATAAATAACGATGAGGTGACAGAGACGCCAGAAAATCTAACCAATCAGTGCTGCACTATTTATAGTAACGCGGGCTTTGCGAGCGGAGACGAGGGGTTTTCTGCAAACATGGCGGAGACAAACGATCACTCAGTCGCGAATGGGGCATTATTATTTGATCCCCCTTCGAATCTTCAAAATGAAGCACATGTTAAAAGTATGCAACAATATCAGAAGATGTACAAGCAGTCAATTGAGGATCCAGAAACATTTTGGAGGGAAATCTCAGCTCAATTTTATTGGAAATCTCCACCGACCGGAAAATTCTTCGAGTATAATTTTGATGTCGGCAAAGGACCAATTTCTATCAAATGGATGACGGGAGCTAAGACAAATATATGTTACAATATGCTGGATCGACATATTGCGAATGGTCTGGGAGATAAGGTTGCGTTTTATTGGTAAGGAATCTCAGAATGTCATGGCATTATACATGTACACCGTGACCGATGGTAGTCATAACTTTATTATTATATTGCTAAAAAGTGATGAAGATGCAAATTTAATGTGAGCCAGTACACAGACAGAGAGGAGCCAGTTGGCAGTCATTATTTTGTTGTTCAGTTTTCAATAAATCAATTTGATCAATGAATGTTTGCGGTGTCATAGACTGTCACATGACAGAAATGCCCAATTTGCAATGAATATACATGTATATTGACCTCTTTATTGATGACTGGGGGGGGGGGGCTTGTATTTGTAAATGATATATAGATCTAATAGCCTTTAGTATTATATAATATCATTATCAATATCATACTATTAAAAACACTTGTAACAGAATCTAGCCATTAAGGATGCATTATTCAAGAGCTAAATCTTCCTAATGCAGATGTTTCATTTGACCTCATGTGTTATATGATTCATGAATCATTAATTAGATATTTATTTACATTCCAAGCCCATATAATCAATTCTCTAGAACTTTGGATGGTTTTGATTTTTAACAGATTCAAATACGATTGGCAGTTAATGATTTAATTTAAAAATGGATAATCTTTACTTTGATTATTATAGTAACAACGGTAGCAATGACAGTCGAGACTACACTGTTCTTCAAACTGGCAATAACTCTGCTCAAAATGAAGTGATTTAACTATTTTTATACTATTGTAACAAGAACTGTCAGCCCTTTATCTAAATCTTATATAATGCATCTTTAAACATACATTATGCAAGAGCTAAATCTGCCAATTGCAGGTCTTTCTTAAGGCCTGAAATTTTATCTAAATTATTAATTAGACATTAATTAACTTATCCAGACCATAATCAACTCTCAATGTCATCGCTAGCCTGCGATATTTACTGGATTAGGATCTGATTTGCTGCTCAACTTTCATTCATGATCAAATCATGAAATGGATAATAGAGACTACTTTTTTTATCGTACCGACTTTAGTAATGATGATGGCCGAATGAATGACCTAGTTTGTGTCAAGTGGACATTAAACCCCATTTCACTCTCTCTTTTATTATACAACTTCCTCCTTCTGTTGTGAAGTTTACGAGAGAATACACTGTAAATAATGAAAATATATATACATGTATATTTGTATTAAGTATATTTATTTGAGCGGCAGCGCCATAATTGAAAGCAATACCGTAGTATATTATTAAACACATGGTGTATTTTTTTTGTGCCCTTATAATAAATCTGAAATATGCATTGTTTATCCTTTTTCTTTTCAGGGAAGGCAATGATCCAAATGATTTTGGTAAAATTACATACTCAGAGCTGCTTGCTAGAGTTAGTAAATTCTCCAATGTATTAAAAAATTTAGGTGAGTTCAGTCAGATGCTACTTCAAGCAAAGATAATGCTTTATTAGTTTATTATCCAGTGACAAGATTTTCCATTTATGCAAGTGGATAATCTTTGAGAGGCATTTAGTAACTGGATAGAGCAATAAACTATAACACATACTTATGGAAAAACAGCTACTTATTTATTTGGGCAATGTTTCGAAGGATATTCTCCCAACGTTATCAAGCTAATGACAATGTTGAGAGAATACTCTTCGAAACATTGCCCAAATAAATAAGTAGCTGTTTTTCCATAAGTATGTGTTATAGTTTATGCAAGTGGAGTTTTGGAATAAGATCTATATTAGTCCCGAAATGACCTAGTTTGTGTTGCGTGGTTGATAATTTTAAATATTTAATTATTTTAAACAGGTCACAATTCTATGGAATACAATTACTGCTTATTACTGAGCGACGTTTCGACTAGGCTTCTCCGGCAATGCTTGACCAGAGAAACATCGCCCAGTAATAAGCATTAATTGAATTCCATAGAATTGTGACCTGTTTATTCCAGTTCAATTACTAAATGCCATTGAAACAATTCATTTGATTTTGCAGGAGTATCGAGAGGCGATCGTGTAGCTATTTATATGCCAATGATATTGGATCTGTCGGTTGCTATGTTGGCGTGTGCTAGAATTGGTGCCATTCATTCAATAGTGGTAAGAATTGGATCTTTATTGTGCCATGAAATGATTATAGTAACCAAATTATATCCCATGTATATCTGGCCGGAGGAGGGGGGGTAGCTCGTGTGCGCTGTATCAAAAGGTCAGTTATTGAGTCAGCTGGCGTGGTTTCGATTCCCCAGGAGTAGGGTGGTGACAAGGAGTAGGGTTGCCTGTCCATCCTCGTGGGTTTTCTCCAGGTTCTCTGTTTTCCTCCCACTGCCTGGTAAAAACGCCTTTGCGCAAGTGAATTATTGAAATAAAATTGAACCATATGTTAGTCCTGAAATGACCTTGTTTGTGTCAGTGAAGTTAAACGCATCTCTCTCTCTATCTCCCTCTCCCCCTCTCTCTCTCTCTTGGGTTGAACTGTGTTCAAGGTCCTAGTTATCTGTAGTCTGGGATTTTTTTTCGCCTTGTTAATATAATTAAACATCAAGTTACACTCATCTTGATCTTATTATTTGCTTTTATGAATCAGTGATTTAATATCCCACTTCCTGAATTTATCCTTTATAGTAGGTGACACACTGCTTTTGGGGGAACCAACTTTTGTGTTTGACTGCTCAAACCACTTGGCCTTCTCCTTTCACTTTGATGTGGAGGACACTATTCCCACAATACTCAAAAAAAACTGTGATTTTAAGTTTGCAGGATTTTCAGTAGCGGCTTTAGTCGAAAGGTTACTTGATTCGAAAGCAGATGTCATTGTTATAGCAGGTCTATTTCTTTAATTTAGAAGTGTGAATTGTATTTATATGTACATGCATATGTATTGTAGTTTAGCTTATGGGTAAATACATACATGCATATAGGTTAGGTAAAGATAGGGTTATTGGTAACTTGATATATATATATATATATATATATGTGTGTGTGTGGGTATTACATACATGTATATGAGACTGATATCAAATGGTATGGGTGCATACATGTACAACAAAAAATAATATGCATATAGAACATTCGTTTTACAAAATGCATTACAATTTGTTTTTTATATGTATTACCTGTTTTAAAAAAACCTACAAATTCAAGTCATTTTTAAAAAAAAAAAAGCAGTATAGTTTTTTTTTTTTTTTTACATAATAATAATAAGAATGACATTAAAAACCCCAGCAACAACCGTAAGTGAAGCCCACTAATTTTTATTTACCCGGTACCAGTATTTATAATTATTCTTTTAATCAAATTAAATCTTGACTTTAAAATAAAATTATAGTAAATTTAAGACATATCATTCATGCAGAGAATGTTTTAGCCATTAGCTTGAACATTAGAGAGACGTAATTCTGTAGGTAAAGATGTGTTGAAGGTATTTATCATGTAGTATTTACACCTGGAGACAAGTTCACTAAAACCTGGTAAAACTCGGATATTTACTCTACAAATAAAGACAGAAATTCCTCTGGGTTTTCTTCCATATTTGTGAATTTACATTAAAGTAGATAAAGTAAAAGTATTTCTATGTTTACTGTAGATAAGAACATAATAAAATTAAAAATATATGTCCAGTTGAAAGGGAATTCAGATTTATTGCTGTTTTGTCAATTTCTTTAGGATTGTGAAATCAAGGATAAAAGTCGAATCAGTGAGTTTGAAATAAACAAAGATTAGTTATTACCTGTTATACATTATTTGTGTAAACAAAGAGTTAGTATAAGTTGTATACATGTATTCACAGATCCCTAACTAAAGGTATAATATGATTTGACCTGGCCTTGAACCCAGGAATGTAGTTGAAGATCTGGTCAAATAAACCATTATGTACCTTTCCGGACAGGTGTAATGATGGTCATTCATCAGTAATTATAACCCTCATGATGACAAAATACATAAAATATTCATCATTGTAGTAAATTCACTGGATGTTATTGTCTATCTGTTTTCATATTTATTTCCCTGATTACACCCCACTTTATTAAGACTATTCAATAGAAACAGTGTATATTAAAGGGGGATTATGGGAAATTAGATAAAGAACTGACAGTTCTCGCTATAATAGTTACAAAATAGATATGTAAAGAGAATATGCTGAAAATTTCAGTCAAATTGCTCTACTCTGAACAGAGATATGATTAGCGATTGAATTTTCGGCCTAGCCTCGATCATCATTACTATAAAAGTCGGTATGACAAAAAACAAAGTCTTGATTATCCATCACAAAATGTATTTAAATCCAGTAAATATCACATGCTAGCAATGGCATAGAGAGGTTGATTATGGTCTGGATAAGTTAATTAATGTCTAATTAATAAGTTAGATAACATTTCAGGCCTAAAGAAAGACCTGCAATAGGCAGATTTAGCTCTTGCATAATGTCTGTTTAATATTCAGCATTTAATATGATAACAGGCTGACTGATGACTCTGATGTCAATAAATTATTCTGACTAAGATTCATTGCCACTTTAAAGGTAACAGGTATATTAGCTACAGACAGTGATGTACAGGTAGAAATAGGTTATCACACAACAAATAAAATACAACCACATCTTTGTTTATCTTTTCATGTACTTATTTAAGTAGACACAGTAAGCAATCCAGTGATATTAAACAGGCATTATGTAAGAGCTAAATCTGCTTATTGCAGTCTTTCTTTGGGCTTTAAATGTTTTATAAATTATTGATTAGATATTTATTAATATGAGAAGACCATAATTAACTCTCATTGCCAACAGATGACTCTGATTTAAGTAGATTAAAATGGTTTATAAATGGAGAAACAAGGCTAAGGCTTGAATGACCAGTATGGTGGTTACATGCAATGTATACATCTTGTCAAGACTACAACCATTGATAACTTTGCTCAAAATAAATTAATTTGAATGAAATTTTCAATATATTCATTTTGCATTATCTATTTTTGAAGTATTATAGCAAGATCGACCAGCTCTTTATCTAAATCTTACATAATGCACCTTCAAGTACAATTGCAGGGTACATTTATAAATATGTTGATTTCTTTTGTTGTTATTCATAAGATAAGATATTTATTGCATCCATTAACTTTAAGAACAGTGTCACTGTAACCTGGATATCATTAAATCTTGTGTATCTAGCAGTAAGTTCTTTTACATTCGTTTAATATCAAATCTTTGTTTAAAAATTGGTAAAAATTTACAAGTATTTAATTTCCTGATCACTGTTAAAAAATAAACAACCCAATTGATTATTGATGTACATGTATAATGATTAATTTTGAACAGTGGTCAGGGCCCTGTTTCTCGAAATCTTAACTAAGGATAAAATCCAAATTTTAGTAGATACTTCAATTTTGAAGCACTAAAATCAACCTAAAATTATCCAATCAAATTACTAAAATTTTGATTTTATCTTGGTTAAAATTTCGTGAAACAGGCCCTTGGAAATTAAATACTTGTAAATTGGAAAAATTAATCAGTCAGCTTTAAACTGGACACAAGTACAAATTAGATGATTTTGGGTGCTTTTAAATTATTTTTACGAATTTTCATACAAAAATTTGATATTAAACGCATGTCTTGAAATTAGTGCTAGATACACAAGATTAAATGATACCCGGGTTACATTGGTACATACATGTATATGTTGGTACATTAACTGTGGACAGCATCACATACATTTAATAAATTACATAAAAAAAAAACATAATATACATATAATAGGTGATATGTATGAAAATTAAAATGTTGATATACATGTATGACTGATTATTTGTCTGGTTATGGTTATGGTATACACGTATACACTATTATAGTATTAAGTATATAAGCTATGACATATATAAAGCATGCTTTACAAGGGAGGGTATATATTATTCATATTTTAAGCCCAAACTATAGATAATTCATTATATACTGCAACTTAGTTGATTATCTATAACTACATGGAATAGATTACTGTCAGTTTAATTTATCGTCAGATTTGTTGGGCGGTCTGGGAAAGAGAAGTTCTTATTGAAAATTTTTAAAAATTTAATAGGAGCAACATTTCAACAATTTTCTGTTATAGTTGATTATGACAAGAGGGTCGTCATTGTTAAAATGTTGCTCTTACATGTATTAAATTCAGTAATGGTATTCCATGGAAGTTTTGTGTTTTATGAGGCATTTTTACGAGAAACCGATTATGGCTAATCAATCTGCAAACCCTTTTCAAACACATTTACGGCAAACTTTACCCTAATCAATTTGTTAACATTTTTCCTCAATTCTTCAGTCTCGAGTTTACGAGAACTGATTCAAATACCATGTACAAAATGAGATAGGTAATCAAAACCGATTTGTTTTCTTATAAAAACGCCTATGAAATGTTCTTGTGGGTCACGTTGAGTCGAAAGATTTACTAGAACTTGTTAAAGCTGTACCAACATTACCTTTGACTACTGTTTTACTTTGTAATGTCTTTGGTAAGCTTTGTACACATATTTCAGTGCACAATGACAAATAGATTTCTTTTAACATTAAAACTCCATGCACAAGCATCTAGTAAATCTAATGTTTGCTTTTAGTCAAACTCGGGTCACACACAATCTGGTTAAAACACAGATCCTATTTCGTTTCTTTTTTTATAGTTCAAAATTTCATTTTACTTGTCTTTACCACACCAGGATCTGGAATAGTTATATAACCGGTGTTCTGGATGATGTGAGGGATTGGCCAATGAAACTGTCTGTTATAGCAAGTTTTTGGCATGAGGTGCATGGAACTGTGGGTAACCAACTAGAAACATCAACGCTGATTGATTACTTAAATGTCGGACGTCATAGGGTCAAAAGCCACTCGCATGATATCTGACACGACCTTCCACTACAACTGGTCAGATCTTCATGTAGTAAAGGCCATCAAAAGTATAAAAAACGAAACGATATGTAGATCTGTATTTTAATGAGATTGGGTCACACAAAGAATGGGGCATACATACATGTGTGCCACAATTTACAGTGAGACGGAATCAAAGATCTTCCATTTATTCATGTCAGTGAGCTGACCTTTGACCTGGATCCCTAATTATTTTGAATATTTATTTATCTAGTTTGCTGGCTATTCATCAGAATCATTAGCTGAAAGAATTCTCGATGCCACATGTAGTGCAATAATAACAGCAGGTTGGTAACCACAAAAAAAAAAAAAAAAAAAAATTATTTCTTTTCCCTGAAAAAAAATCTCAAATTATTTCTTTTCCTTGGAAAAAATATCAAATTATTTCTTTTCCCCGATTTTCTTTTGATTGATCATTTTAAAAACTTTTTTTTATGAATTTCTTGCCAATAAGATAAGGCTGGTGTACACACTGGAATTAGATGCATGTAAATTATATTGCTGCATATTCTATGGTTATGGATGGGATTTGGGAATGGTTATTGGTTCTCCATTGTCTCTTGAAAATCATTCTTTATCAAGCCACTGACTTTCATTTGTAGTTTTCAGTCCATATCTAATGTTTCTCAGTTTAATCCAAGCTACAATGTACTCAGATTCATTATTTAAAATTTAAATAAGAAAAAGAAAACCAAAATATCATAGTTAGATAATCTCCTGCCTTGGATTCAATCAGATCAAAAATAACTCTATCAGTTGATATCTAATATTTTCCAGCTTAATCCAAGCTACCAGTTCATATCTATGTTCTTTAAATGGCATTTAGTAACTGGATAGAGTAACAACAAAACACATACTTATGGAAAACAGCTACTAGTGTATTTAAGGCGACGTTTCGTAGAGTATTCTCTCAACGTTATCAAGCTAATACAGTAAAACAGTTCATATCTAGTGTTTCTCAGCTGAATCCAAGCTACAATGTACTCAGATGACAGATTGATTATTTAAAATTTAGATAAGAAAAGAAAACCAAAATGTCATCGGTAGATAATCCCTCGCCTTGGATTCAATCAAATCAAAAATAACCCTATCAGTCCATATCAGCTTAATCCAAGCTACAATTTACTCATTTTGATTATTTATAATTTAGATAAGAAAAAAGAAAAGAAAACCAAAATATCATTCATAGTTAGATAATCTCTGGCCTTGGATTCAATCAGATCAAAATTAACCGTATCAGAAGAATTTACATTGCACTTGTTGAATTATGTCCACATGTAAGGTTGTCTTTTAATAATGTACAGATTTTGTATGAATAATGATAAATGAATTGTTTATTATTTAGATGGTGTTTGGAGAGGTACGAAATTGCTTAACCTTAAGAAAATAGTAGATGATGCTCTGAAAATATGTGATGAAAAGTAAGCATTGTTTAACAAAATATGTAATATTTACAACAAATAAGCATTGTTTAACAAACTAAGTAATATTTACAACAAATAATTAAGAATACTATGATTTATTTTAGAAAATCCTAGGAATATTTGGCTGTAAAATTTTGACCTGAATGAAAACAACCGTGGTGTTTAAAATGTTTTTGGATATCTGTTCCTTGTCAGAGAAAATCACACTAGAACATTTCTAGGAACTTAACCCAGGACCTCCTGGTTAGAGAGTCAGAGTCTTACATACTAAACTTAGGCTGCCTGTCTACAGTTAGATCCATTTGAGAACAGACACTAAGCTAGTTGACAGACATTTTAAGTTTTAAATCGACGATTTTAGGTCAAAAATACTAAATATACTTTGAGAATTTTGTTAAGTATTTATTCCACTTATTAATAAAATAACTGAAAAAGTTTATTTAGTCTTTTTGTGTATGACAGATGTGAAACAGAGTAGAACGGCATTACAAAACAGTATACTTATTTTTAGATATGGCTACCATTTAGGGCAGAGATCTATTCTCGAAGTATGAAGTAGATGGATCTCTGTGTACAGAATGAGAACCTTACTCACTGATGACACTGTTATATTATTTATATTTAGAGATGATCACATTACCTCGTAGATTTTTATACCTTATGTTTTATTTTTAACAAGGGGACATCGTGTTGAGAAGTGTGTAGTTGTTAGACATCTGAGTCCGTCTGATGAGATTGTTAAAACTAATGGGGATTTCGAAGAAGAACCTGAGGCATGTAGACCCAGTCGAAAACTCAAGGTATTGATATTGTTAATTTGATGGCTTACGTCCAGCTCTTGGAGTCACTGTGAACACGGCACATACTGTAGTATTCTTAATAAACCTGGCATAACATTTCTTAGCAACATTTGGCTATATGAATTTCGTTGCATATAAAGTTCACTCTGCATTTTTTTTACTAATTTGATATATGTTCCAAAACTTTTTTGGTGATGCTGTCAAAAATTAATTGTAAAATTTTCAGTTATGGCAAGATGAATTAAGTTAATGTTCAAACCTAAGTCTTGTATTCCAGAAACTTCCCATGGGCTGGTATGATATTAGCTCTTTGAAACAGATCTCCATCATTTGATAAGTTAATTATATCAGGAATTGTTTTAAGTGTAAGTATTTATATTTTGATCAGATCAACTGGCAACCAGGAAGAGATATATGGTGGCACGAGATGATGACATCAGCCAGTAGTGAATGTGAACCTGAATGGATGGATGCTGAAGATCCGTTATTTATGTTATATACCAGGTATTAGACGGATATGTAGGGGATATTTTTCCTCAAAATAAACGAAGGCCCTGTGTACGCGTTGGTATACACGTCAAAGATCCTTTGCCAGTTGGAATTCAATTGCAGTCTAGGTTTAATTTCCCTCATTAGCCCATTTGGTGCAGAAAATAGGATGTTAAACCCTATTTCATTCATTCCTTCAGGCATGGTGAACCTTTAAAGCTCAGTATTAAGAGCTCTTAAAGTTGGCGAAGCTGCTATTCCTGGACCTTGTAACTTGAATCACTTGATACCAGTGATGGAATTTCGCCCGTATATTCCGGACATGTCCGACACTATTTTCCAAACATCCTAAATTGTTCGACCAGAGATATGCCCAATCGGACATCAATAATATTCAAAATTCCAAAATTAATATAGTGTACCGAGTGTATAACTACTACTCAACCCGATTATCGGTGATAATTGGCTAGATTGAGTAGAACCATTAAAGACATCAGCATGCAAAACAATCTGATTAAAGTACAGATCGATATTTCGTTTCTTTTTTTTATACTTTTGATGGCCTTTACTACATGGAGATCTGACCGGTTGTTGTGGAAGGTCACGTCAAGAGGTCATACAAGTGGCTTTTGACCCTATGACATCAGACATTTGATTAACCAATCAGCATTGATTTTTCTAGTGGGTTACTTCACGCCAAAAACTCGCTGCAACAGACCATTTCATTGGCTAACTCCTCATATCATCCAGAAGGCGGGTTAAATAACAACACTTCCAGATCATAGTGTAGTAAAGACAAGTAAAACAAAATTTTGATCTTTTAAAAAATGATGAAACGAAAAAGGATCTGTGTTTTAATCAGATTACATTCAAAATAACAAACAACATAAGCTGTGGAGCATTAGAATATTACACTTAGAAAAGTGACTAATCAATTGATTTAAAAAATGTCTACTTAAATTGCTATTTTAACATTGATTACCATTTTTTTTTATAAATAAACATTGCATTCGAAACTACTAATCAATTATCTTGAGTTAAAATATGATGAATAAGTATATTAAAATAATGAATAAATATAAGTATATTAAAATAATGAATAAATATAAGTATATTTAGATAATTTATATTTTAGTGGTTCGACTGGTAAACCTAAAGGTGTGTTACATACTATAGGAGGTTATATGTTATATACAGCTACAACATTTAAATATGTATTTGACTATCAACCAGATGATGTTTATTGGTGTACAGCAGATGTGGGCTGGATTACTGGACATTCCTATGTAACATATGGCCCTCTTGGTAATGGGGCAACAGGGTTGATAGTAAGTTACTTTATTAAAAATTCAAGGGAAAATCCATTATTCAGAAATTAGATTTTTCTGCTGTTGTAAACAAACTGTTTCAGGGGTATTTACTAATTTAACTGGTTTTACACAGGACACAGTTCTGTGGAAAAAAATTTATAAACAAGCCGTAAAATTCTATTTCATTCATTCATTATACATAATATAAACCAATTTGTGACACACATGTAGGCTGGTGTATAATGTAAACAAGTAAACAATCACTATGTGACATACATGTAGGCTGGTGTATAATGTAAACAAGTAAACAATCACTATGTGACATACATGTAGGCTGGTGTATAATGTAAACACGTAAACAATCACTATGTGACATACATGTAGGCTGGTGTATAATATAAATGGATAAACAATCACTTTATGACATACATGTAGGCTGGTGTATAATGTAAACAAGTAAACAATCACTATGTGACATACATGTAGGCTGGTGTATAATATAAATGGATAAACAATCACTTTATGACATATGTGTAGACCAGTGTATAATAAAACCAAATAATAGATTTGTGACATGACATGTAGACTAGTGTTTGATATATACAATCACTGTGTGACATATGATATGTAGACACAAACACAATTATCTTATTGTTTTCAACCATATAATAAACTGGTATTTATATTCTATATAATTAGAAATTCTAAAATCACAAAGATAAATTTGTATTTTAAGCCATTGTAAAAAGACTTTATTATAGTTACATTTTTTGAAAAAATAAACCTAGTGTTCATCCCCAATGGTTGGGGGCAGGGGATGTGGATGGCTGAATGGTTAGCGTATGCATGCTGTATCATAAGGTCTTGTTATTGAGTTAACTGGCTTGGTTTCGAATCCCCAGTTGTCAGACAAAGAGTAGGGTCGTCTGTCCAACCTTGTGGGTTTTCTCCAGGTACTCCGGTTTTCTTCCACTGGTAAAGACCCCCTACGCGCAAACGAATTATTGAAATAAAATTGAATTGTATGTTAGTCCCAAAATGACCTAGTTTGTGTCAGTGGATCTCTCTCTCTCTCTCTCTCTCTCTCTCTCTCTCTCTTATTGTGATATAGACAGGTGATTGTATCAGCTGATATTTCTATCACCTTACTGATGTCATTGACTGTAATATGACATTTTATCAGTTACATATATAGATAACTCAAGATATAGATGATAATGTTGTTATCTCCATTGATTATGTTATCTCGGTCAATAAAACTATTTAATTGTGTCAGTAGGCTCTATATCGTTTAATCAATGATGTAAAATAAAATTGATGATTACGCGATTTTGTTTTTATATACAACCAGCCTAGACATAGACATTATTAATGTTATTAATTGTTTTTGTGTACAACCAGTATAAACATGGATATTATTGACCTTATTAATGGACATTTTGTTTTTGAGTACAACCAGAAATGAAATGGCTTTTAACGTCCTACTGTTAGGCTCTAACTGGACTAATTTAGACGGCATACGCCATGCAGTGTGCTATGAGGGAAATTTTGCCCGGCAGCGGCATTATGGCCTACTCTTATATCAAATTCCAACTGAAAAGGGATTTTTTACTAGCATGCCAATTTATACACTGGACCTCCTTTTTTTGTCCCATCCGAATGACTAGACAGCTGTCTTTGTCTGCCCTCCATCCTGCACCACTGACAAGAGGAAACCACGTCGGAAAATCCTGATGAACTTTCTCGGCCAATGCAGGGATCGAACACCCGACCCCCAGGCTAGCGAGCCAGCGCCTTACCCACTTAGTCACCGTGGCTCCCTTGTGTACAACCAATACAGACATGGATGTTATTAACTTTATTGGGGGGTTGGATGGCTGAATGGTTAGCGTGCGCGCGCTGTATCCTAAAGTCTGTCATTGAGTTGACTGGCGTGGTTTTCGAATCCCCGGTTGTACGTGACAAGGAGTAGGGTCGCCTGTCCAACCTCGTGGGTTTTCTCCGGGTCCTCCGGTTTCCTCCCACTGCTAAAGACCCCTACGCGCAAGCGAATTATGTAAATAAAATTAAACCATATGTTAGTCCCGAAATGACCTAGTTTGTGTCGAGTGGACGTTAAACCCCATTTCTCTCTCTCTCTCTCTCTATTAACTTTATTACAACCAGTATAAGCACATGGACATTATTAACCTTGATGCACATACAAACATGTATTGACTTTAAATACTAATTTAAATATTTTTATTTTTCCAATCAGAAATGCACTTAACAGTAATAGTAAACTTTAGGATTTTTTTTCTTAAAACTAAATAAAAGTGTTATAAAATATGATTTTCATGAAATGATGGTTTGTTGGGGCCAGAACACAAGATTTAAAATAATGTATAAATATGTTTTTGTTTTCTTTCTACAGTTTGAAGGAACCCCGTTTTACCCGAACGCTGGTCGTTTTTGGGAAATAGTTGATAAATACCGAGTAACCAAATTCTATACAGCCCCAACAGCTATCAGAGCTTTAATGAAATTTGGTGATGATTTTGTTAAGAAGTAAGTTTATTATCAAATGGGGTTTCACATCCTACTTTTCGGAGGTAGGGGGTGGGGATGGCTAAATGGTTAGAGCGTGTGTACTGCATCATAAGGTCAGTCATTGAGTCAACTGGCCTAGGGTTCCCTGTCCAACCTCGTTGGTTTGCTCCCGTTTCCTCCCACTGCTAAAGACCCCTACACACAAGTGAATTATTGAATAAAATTGAACCATATGTTAGTCCTGAAACAACCTAGTTTGTGTCGAGTGTACGTTAAACTCCATTTCTCTTTCTCTCCCTCCTACTTTTCGACACCTACTTGGCTAATGAAGATGGGCATAAAGCCATGCAGTGTGGTATGATGAAAATTTTGCCCTAACAGTGGAGGTCGGGTGTTCGATCCCTGCATTGGCCGAGAAAGTTCATCTCGATTTTCCGGCGTGGTTTCCCCTTGTCAGTGATGCAGAACAGGGGGCCTGACAAGGACAGCTGCCTAGTTGTTCGGATGGGACGAAAAACCGAGGACCTGTGTACACTTTGGCGTGCACGTAAAAGATCCCTTGGCAGTTGGAATTCGATATAAGAGTAGGCCGTAGCGCCGCTGCCCGGGCAAAATTTCCCTCATAGCACACTGTATGGCGTATGCCCGTCTTCAATTAGCCCAGGTTAGGTGCAGAAGAGTAGGACGTTAAACCCCATTTCATTTCATTTCTTTGCCCTAACAGAATTTCGCATTCTAACTCTCAATTGTTGTTTTACGAGCACGCCAATGTGTACAAGGACCTCTTTTTTTTGTCCTCAATCCTGAACCACAGCCAAGGGGAAAATAGCCATATTTAAGTTGAGTTTGAATGGAAATCCCAAGTGAAAAGTATGTTCTACATGCATAGGCGTACAGGGAAATTTTTGACTGGGGGGCGGTGGTGGTTGGTGCCCAAAAAATGTAGTTAGGTTCTTAGTATGTTACATAATAATAATAAATTCGCTATTAAAATTGGACACATTGAAGAACACAATATTTTTTTTATACAACTTTTACAAAATACAATTGTGTGCCCAAATTTTCCCAGCATTTGGTGCCCAAAATGGGGGGGCGGCCGCCCCAGCCCCCCCCAGCTCGTACGCCTATGTCTACATGTACTTGCCTCTTGGTCAAATTCTGTGACAACCATTTAAAGATACAGAATAAAAGATTAGATAAAGAGCTGGCAGTTCTCACAATTATAGTTAAAAAATACATAATGTAAATGGATTGAGCTGAAAATTTTAGTCCAGTTGCTTCATTCTAAGCCACGAAAACCTTATTTTAAAATCACTGTAGCCTCGATTGTCACTGTTACCGCTGTCACGATAATAAACAAAGTCTCGATTATCCATTTTTGCGTTTAATCATCATCAACAGACGTTGAATAGCAGATCGGATTCAAATACAATGAAAATTGAACATATCAGATGGCATCGAGAGTTGATTATGGTCTTTTCATGTTAATAAATGTCTAATTAATAGTTTATATAACATTTAAGGCAGGACACTACCTTATAAAACACTCTGTATAGATTGATCTGTCAAATTTTGATATCAGCTAAAATTGCCCAAAATAGTTATCATTCGTTGATTTTTCAAGCCGTGTCCAGCCTTTATATTATATAGTGTTAAATATTTAGTCATTTATATAGGTAAATCAAATTTTTAACTTTTAACTTGCTTTTTTCCGTACTCAATTTTTCACCCATATCAGGTCGTAGAAAATCAAATTCTCAAAATCTATGAGAGATAATGGTCTCATCTTTGGAATACGATTAGTGCTATAGCTACTGTTTGCAATAAGGTGATTTTCAAAGTGTTTGTTATAAGGTATGGTGAAAGAAGAGTCCTGAGATGTGCTTTAAATATCAAGACACATGTAATGTATTATAACTGTTGTCTCATTTCAGATACAAAAGAGATTCGCTAAAAATTCTCGGAACAGTTGGAGAGCCTATAAATCCTGAAGCTTGGTTATGGTATTATCGTGTTGTAGGAAACAGTAAATGTGCTATTGTAGATACCTTTTGGCAAACTGAGACGGTAGATATCTTTAACATTCAGTTGATGTACCTGATAAATAGGGAGAGAGAGAGAAATGGGGTTTAACGTCCACTCGACACAAACTAGGTCATTTCGGGACTAACATATGGTTTAATTTTATTTACATAATTCGCTTGCGCGTAGGGATCTTTAGCAGTGGGAGGAAACCGGAGAAAACCCACGAGGTTGGAAAGGCGACTCTACTCCTTGCCACGTACAACCGGGGATTCGAAACCACGCCAGTCGACTCAATGACAGACTTTATGATACAGCGCTCACGCTAACTATTCAGCCATCCCCCCCCCCCCCCTGATAAATAGGATCTGTGTTTTAATCAGATAATCGCGCTCACGCTAACTATTCAGCCATCCCCCCCCCCCCCCCCCTGATAAATAGGATCTGTGTTTTAATCAGATAATACCTGATAACGTTCCATTGAGGACGGAAGCGTTTTATTGTTAAGAACTGTATATATCTGTTTTTCCTGGGTTTGGAGGGGGGTTGGATGGCCGAATGGTTAGCACGTGCGTGCTGTATCATACGGCCTGTCATTGAGTCAACTGGTGTGGTTTCGATTCCCCGGTTGTACGTGACAAGAAGTAGGGTCGCCTGTCCAACCGCGTGGGTTTTCTCTGGGTCCTCCGGTTTCCTCCCACTGCTAAAGATCCCTACGCGCAAGTGAATTATGGAAATAAAATTAAACCATATGTTAGTCCCGAAATGACCTAGTTTGTGTCGAGTGGACGTTAAACCCCATTTCTCTCTCTCTCTCCTGGGTTTGGAGGAATCTTTTACTTTTATGTTTTAACTAGATTTTATCATCTATAATCGGAAAGATCAAGTCCAGAGCTTTTATCTATGTAAAATACTCTCATAGAACTAAAATTTTATGTATCTAATTTGGACTATCAATCTGATTAAAGCACAGACCCCATTTCGTTTTTTATAGTTCAAAATTTTGTTTTACTTTAATCTAGAAGAGTTGTTATATAACCCGCATTCTGGATGATGTGAAGGGATTAGCCAATGAAACGGACTGTTATGGTGAGATTTTGGCATGAGGTGCACGAAACTGTGGGTAACCCTCTAGAAACATCAACGCTGATTGGTTAATCAAATGTCTGATGTCATAGAGTCAAAAAAAGATTGTATGACCTTTGACGGGACCATCCACTACAACCTGTCAGATCTCCATGTAGTGTAGACCATCGAAAGTATAAAAAAAAACCAAGTGAAATATAGATCTGTATTTTAACCAAATTGTTGGACTATGGAATAACATGTCATTCCTTATAAATATGTAGAGTGATAGTTTGGACTTATCACTAAATGGAACTATAGTCTGGACTTATCGCTGAATGGAACTAAAGTTTGGATTTATTGCTGAATGGAACTATAATTTGGATTTATCACTGAATGGAACTATAGTTTGGACTATACGATATTTGAAATGTTTGTATTTTAGGGTGGTCACGTACTTACACCATTACCTGGAGCTACACCAACAAAACCTGGTTCAGCTGTAAGTATATATTTACATCACTTTAAAGATGCACTGCCAGAAAAAAAAGGGGGGGGGGAACCACGGTGGCTAAGTTGGTAAGACTCTGGCTCGCTAGCCTGGAAGGTCGCATGTTCGATCCCAGCATTGGCCGAGAAAGTTCATCAGGATTTTCTGACGTAGTTTCCCCTTGTCAGTGGTGCAGGACAGAGAGCCTGATAAGGACAGCTGTCTAGTTGCTCGGATGTGATAAAAAAAAAACGAGGTCCCATGTATACATCGGCGTGCACGTAAAAGATCCCGTGGCAGTTGGAATTCGATATAAGAGCAGGCCATAGTGCCGCTGCCCGGGCAAAATTTCCCTCATAACATACTGTATGGCATATGCCCGTCTTCATTAGCCCAGTTTAGGAGTAGAACATTCATTTCATTTCAAAAATAGGCGGGGTTGAATGGCCGAATGGTTAGCGCTTGCGAGAGTAAACGCCGGAAGATGAAGTTGGCGTTACAACCCATTTCATTGCATTTCTATTTACAGACGTTTCCATTCTTTGGTGTGATTCCAGCCCTACTGACAGAAGAAGGAAAAGTAATAGAAGGCCCTGGAGAAGGATATTTAGTAAGTTTGAATTTTCTGGATTTTTAAAGTGAGGTTCTCACTTTTTATGTTCTTATTGTAGATTATATCTAAGACTGAGACACAGTGATCATGAAAGTTGAAATTCACTGGCTGCCGGAGCCGCGGTGGCAGATTGGTTAATATGTGCACGTTGCATCATAATGTCTGTCATAGAGTCAAGTGGCGTGGTTTCAACTTCCCGCTTGTACGTGACAAGGAGTAGGATCGCCTGTCTAACCATATGGGTTTTCTCTGGGTCCTTCAGTTTCCTCCCACTGCTAAAGACCCCAACGAGCAAGCGAACTATTGAAATAAAATTGAACCATATGCTTAGTCCCAAATGACCTAGTTTGTGTTGAGTGGGTTAGACCCCAATCCTCCCGTGCGCTCTCTCTCTCTCTCTCTCTCTCTCTCTCTCTCAGTTTGTCAGGTACAACTAGAATTATTATACCCAGACCTTTCAGTGGAATGAAATCAACATTTTTATACGTCCACATTCATAATGTGAACGTATTATGCCGTCGCCCCTGTCTGTGTGTGTGTGTGTGTGTATGTATGTATGTGTGTGTGTGTGTGTGTGTGTGTGTGTGTGTGTGTCTGTGGTTTGCCTACAGGGCGCAATTCTTCATGGATTTTCTTCAAACTTGGTATACTTATTCCTTATACCCCAAGGAAGATCCCTATTGTTTTTGGTGCATGCCCGACCCCCCGGGGCAGAGCCACGCCCATTTCTAGTATTTGTTTGTTTGTCGTCTACAGGCCACATTTCTTAACTAATAATCTTGAAACTTTGCATACACATTCTTTGTACCCTAAGGAACATCCCTATCGTTTGGGGTGCATGCCCAACCCCCAGGGGCAGAGCCACGCCCATTTTCTTTTCGTGTGTCTTTGTGTCGCCTACAGGGCGCAATTCTTACTGGATTTTCTTCAAACTTGGTATACTTATTCCTTATACCCCAAGGAAGATCCCTATTGTTTTTGGTGCATGCCCGACCCCCAGGGGCAGAGCCACGCCCATTTCTAGTATTTGTTTGTTTGTCGTCTACAGGCCACATTTCTTAACTTATAATCTTGCATACACATTCTTTGTACCCTAAGGAACATCCCTATCGTTTGGGGTACATGCCCAACCCCCAGGGGCAGAGCCACGCCCATTTCCCATTTTCTTTTCGTGTGTCTTTGTGTCGCCTACAGGGCGCAATTCTTACTGGATTTTCTTCAAACTTGGTATACTTATTCCTTATACCCCAAGGAAGATCCCTATTGTTTTTGGTGCATGCCCGACCCCCAGGGGCAGAGCCACGCCCATTTTTTGTATTTATTTGTTTGTCATCTACAGGCCGCATTTCTTAAGTATCATATTGAAACTTTGCATACTTATTCTTTGTACCCTAAGGAACATCCCTATCGTTTGGGGTGCATGCCCAACCCCCAGGGGCAGAGCCATGCCCATTTTCTTTTTGTGTGTCTGTGTGTCGCCTGCACGTCACATTTCTTAAGTGATCATCTTGAAACTTTACGTACTTATTTCTTATACCCTATGGATGATCCCTATTATTTTTGGTGCATGCCCGATCCCCAGGGGCAGAGCCACGCCTATTTCTTGTATTTGTTTGTTTGTCGTCTACAGGCCGCATTTCTTAACGCATCATCTCGAAACTTTGCATACTTATTCTTTGTAACCTAAGGAACATCCCTATCGTTTGGGGTCCATGCCCAACCCCCAGGGGCAGAGCCATGCCCATTTTCTTTTTGTGTGTCTGTGTGTTGCCTACAGGCCACAATTCTTAATCGATCGTCTTGAAAAAATTTCATATAAATTCCTTATACCCTAAGGATGATCCCTATTGTTTTTGGTGCATGCCCGACCCCCAGTGGCAGAGCCACGCCCATTTCTTTTATTCATTGTTTGTCATCTACAGACTGCATTTCTTAGCGTATCACCTTGAAACTTTGCATACTTACTCCTTCTATCCTAAGGAACATCCCTATTGTTTGTGGTGAATGCCCAGCCCCCAGGGACAGAGCCACGCCCATTTTCTTTTTGTGTGTCTGTATGTCACTTACAGCCTGCAATGCTTAATCGATCGTCTTGAAAACTTTTTTATACTTATTCCTTATACCCTAAGGCTGACCTCTATTATTATTGGTGCTTGCCCGACCCCCTGAGACAGAGCCACGCCCAAAATTTGTGTGCCTTTTGTGTCGCCTACAGGCCGCAATTCTTAACATTTCCTTTTGAAACTTTGCATACCTATTCCTTTTCCCTAAGGATGCCCCCAATTGTTTTTTGGTGATTGCCCAACCCCCAGGGGCAGAGCGACACCCATTTTTTCTTTGTGTCTCTGTGAGTTGCCTACAGGCCACGATTCTTTATGGATTGTCTTTGAACTTGGGATATGTATTCCTTATAACCAAAGACGACAACTGCATATCACGACCCCCAGGGGCAGAGCCACGCCCAATTTTTATGTTTATATCATTTACAGGCCGGAATTCTGAATGGATCAACTTGGTACTTGGCATTTGTATTCCTTATAGCCTAAGGGCATCAACTATTGATTTTGGTGAATGCCCCAACCCCCCGGGGCAGAGCCACGCCCAATTTTTGCCTTTAACACCCAAAGGCCACAATTCTGAATGGATTATCTTGGAACTTGGTATACTTATTCCTTATACCCTAAGGATGGCAACTATTGATGTTGTCATTTCAATAACAGGATGGTACCTATTTATATTGTTTCCATATCCAACCCCAACGGGCAGAGCCATGCCCAGTTTTTGTATTTATAGTCTACATGCTGCAATTCTGAATGGATCATCTTGGAACTTTGCATATTTATTCCTTATACCATAAAGACAGCAACTATTTATTTTGATGCTTGCCCCGACCTCCTGGGGCAGTGCCACACCCACTTTATTGTTAGTATTTTTCTGGATATTTGGCAAAACAAACCCGACGCCTAGCCTTCTTTGCCTCTGATCATATTACAGCAATTTCATATTTCATTCTCTTCATTTTAAAAAGTACCATATATCAATCAAAGCTGGAATGTGGACGTATATTGCAGCGTTAGCGATGCTCTTGTTAGAGGATAGCAATTAAATTGTGATTTAGCAATTTTGATATATTACAGAATAGAATTCTAATTTTTATTGAACTACTTTCAGGTATTTAAACAGCCATGGCCTAGTTTAATGAGGACTGTTTATGGAAATCAGGAGAGATTTGAAACCACATATTTTAAGAAATTCCCTGGTTATTACTGTACAGGAGATGGTAAGATAGATACATGTTATAACTTTCTGTTATCTTACATGTAAGATACTGTACAATAAAGGGGGTCGAATGGTGTAACGCATGCCAAGGTCTTAAGGTCTGTCATTGAATCAAGTAGTGTACTTTTGATCCTAAACTTGAACTTGACAAGGAGTGGAGTCACTGTCCAACCTTGTGGGGTTTCTCCTGTTCCTCCAGTTTCCTCCTACTGCTAAAAACCACTTTGCGTAAGCAAATTATTGAAATAAAATTGAACAATGTATTAAGTGGAGTGTTCGATCCTTGCATTGGCCGAGAAAGTTCATTGTGATTTTGGGATCACGTGGCTAAGTGGGTAAGACGCTAGCTCGCTAGCCTGGAGGTCGGGTGTTCGATCCCTGCATTGGCCGAGAAAGTTCATCCGGATTTTCCGGCGTGGTTCTCCCTTGTCAGTGATGCAGGACGGAGGGGCTGACAAGGAAAGCTGTCTAGTCATTCGGATGGGACGAAAAACCAAGGTCCCGTGTACACATTGGCGTGCACGTAAAAGATCCCTTGGCAGTTGGAATTCGATATAAGAGTAGGCCGTAGTGCCGCTGTCCGGGCAAAATTTCCCTCATAGCACACTGTATGGCGTATGCCCGTCTTCATTAGCCCAGGTTAGGAGCAGAACAGTAGGACGTTAAACTCCATTTCATTTCATTTCATTTCATTTCTAGCCTGGAACAAAAAGCTGAGATACTGTGTATACGTTGGCAAGCACATAAAAGATCCCTTAACAGTTGAAATTCGATAAAGAGTAGACAATAGTGCTACTGCCCGGGCAAAATTACATGCCTAACCGGGAGTTTGGTTTTTTTATGTGGTTGATTATCCAGTATTTTTTGTTAAGTCAAGTAAGAGTTGCACCCCTTCCCACAATAAATCCCACAATTCTTGCATTATTATAAACAAAGATGAATCGTGACAACGAATTAGGTTTGATAAAAAAAAACATAGATATAGCCCATGAAGAGAGAAATTTTACAATAAAAAGAAATTAAGAGTGTTGGATATTGAACTGGCAATGCAATCAAATGGATTTTCTGTAATGGCATTCTTAAATTAATTTTATGCATGTCGACATCTTGTTTTAGGAATAGTTACCTCCCTTAGACTTGGTTTATAATAATGTGAAAGACCGGATAATCGGGATTAACGTCCTACTGTTCTGCCCTGACTGGGCTAATGAATGAATGAAATGTAGTTTGTTGGCACATCAGCACCAACCAGACTATATTTAGCGAATGAAGACGGAGATATAATTGTCTATGATATCACCCTTGGTGGAAGTGGACATAAAACTCCAGGAACGAGCAAACGAACGAGGATATATTTGTGTTTATGTCTTATCCACTTAGCCACCGTGACTCCATTTAGCAATTTGTGTTTATGTTTATAATAGGTGCCAAACGAGACGAGGATGGTTATATCTGGATTACAGGACGTATAGATGATATGGTTAACGTATCTGGTCATCTTTTATCAACAGCAGAAGTTGAATCAGCTTTAATAACACATAAAAGCGTGGCAGAAGCTGCGTCTGTTTCACATCCACATAGTATAAAAGGGGAATGTATTTACTGTTTTGTAACTTTAAAACAGGTAAGGCAACAATCGGGGAAAATAGGATGTTGTTTGTAAAAAATTCTATGATTTTCGTAATCGACACAAATGCTAAATCATGCCATCATTTCTTGAATTATATCCTCTTACAGTCTCACATAACAACTTTTGGTCTTCGAAGGAATTATTAGTGAGCTGAAATTCGCCCGTGTATCTGTTATCACTCGTCACTTCAGTCAGTTATATAGAGTTCGTCACTTCCGATTGTTGAAACCATCATTACGCATCTTTCGTAGCCATGATCTCAGTGTTAAAATTATATTTGGAACGTGTTTAACCAGTTCTATCACATATGTGATAATGACTGACACCAATATTGTCCTTTAATAGGTTTATTATACTTGCATAGAAAGCCTTCTAGACAGATTTAATAGAAAAGACATCAGTGGATTATTTTCGAAACTTTGTGGTTTAATTGTACTCTCACTCTAAAAAACCAGACACATTTCCTCAATTATATACAGAGTTATTGTTCTTGCCAAACATTTTATAGAGAACAATTATCAATCTAAGGTATATGGTTTAAGTGTACCATCATAAGAATGAAGCCTGTCAAAAATCATCACATTTCTGGAATTTTTGATGAGTTATTGAGAAAATTTGTTACTGTTAATGGTTGTATATTGTGTTGGTATCCAACAATTGCTTGATATATTTTTATTATGTTTCAGGGAGCTGAATACACAAATGATCTAGTAACAGAGTTGAAGAATATAGGTAAGATTCTTTACGAACATATTTAATTAGAATTTAATTTAGGAAAGAGAGTTGTGTTTTTTCTCTATGAAAAAACAACATATGCAGGATTAAGTATGATTGACTATTAGGCATGATGTCACATCATTTTAGATATGCTCTATTCAAATGCTTTAGAGTCCTTAAAGATTTTGTGATTAAGCAAGGGCAATATTGAAGTTATCAAAATTAACTAAATTACGAAAAGAAAAAAAAAACTGATTTCATTCACAAGGGATTCCAGATCCTTTATTTTATCAGCAATGACAAAAGTTTAATCTAAAGCAGGAACACAACTCTGGATTTTTGTTTGTCTGTACCTGGCCGGATTAATGAGATTCGTAATAGTAAGTGCTTGTGTAGATGTAACTTTCTGTACTTATGCATTGATGACCATCATATTCTCTTTCAGTTCGTGCCAAGATAGGTCCTTTTGCACAACCAGACTTCTTACAAAATGCCCCAGCTTTACCCAAAACACGCTCAGGTAAAATCATGCGAAGAATTCTCAGGAAGATAGCCGTAGGAGACCGAAATTTAGGTGATACTTCAACATTAGCTGATGAATCTGTTATAGATGTTTTATTCCAAAACCGACCAAATAACGCATAAAGTACATCCATCATCTATGCAATTATTATACATTTATCATTTCAATAGACGACATGGCAGCATTTATTTATAGTAACCTGCATTGTGGGAGCTCATGGTTGTTTATTTTAGATGCGATTGGTCAATTAGAAAAATGTAAACTAGCCAATTTAATATGGGTTAATTTTAACTATTCTACTTTCATTTTTCAAATGAATGATTATATGAATGTGTTTTATACTCAAACTAGATAGATTATTGTCTAATTTTGTTTTGTTGAATTATTTCATTTTTATGTTCTTGTTAAATTTTGGTTTGACATAGTGGTTGGTAATCGATTTCTTCTGTAGGCATGTATTTTAATTTATTTCATGCCTAGTTTACTCTGATTCACAGTTTTGTTGACCTTTAAAAGACGATATTGGACCATAAACAACAACATCATGAAATAGATTTCAGAGTAGCTTTAAATTGATTTCTAGTCTACTAAATCCATGGGGGCCTTACTCATAAAAGCTTTAAAGGCTCAATACCACTCTTGTTGTAACTGAATATGTCCCAATCTCTATTCTGGTCAACAAATTGTACTATACAATATTCCAATTAATTGATGATACAAATTTCATCTTAACACACCTAATTTAAAAAATTGGAAAAATTCAACTAAATGATTTGAAAAGCCTGACGTAAAGCTTTTCAAATGTTACTTGGATTTAAAAATATTTTTGAACCCTCTGGACAAGTAAAATAGGATTTAATGGATAATTTACACAACAGGTAGGACACTAACACATCTAGTACTTAGAATAGGGCTATTTTTTATTTTCTGGAGCTGTCAAGCCAGCAAGAGTGTTATTGTCCCTTTAAACTGAAATATATTAAACGTACATTATGGAAGAGCTAAATTTGCCTATTGCAGGTCTTTCTTTAGGCCTGAAATGTTATCTAAATTATTATTTAGACATTTATTAAGGTGAAAAGACCTTAATCAACTATCAATGCCATCTTATGTGTCGGATTGTCACTGGATTTGAATCCGATCGGCTCCTTTTTTTATCGATGCTAGGTCTTAAAATCAATCACTAATATAGCGGTTCAGAGTGGAGCAATTTGACTGATATTTTCAGCATATTCCCTTTACATTATCTAGTTTTTAACTATTATAGTGAGAACTGCCAGCTCTTTATCTGATATTCCATAATGTATTTTTAAGATTTTGTGAATAAGGCTGTAGAAGTTCTGATACTGATTGCAAAATGATCAAGTTAAACCTTAATGTATTCATATCAGTAATTATGGTAATATTTGTTAATTCTTTTTGTTTTAATGTCATTTTATTGTTAGAGAAAAATATCGGCTGTCTCTTCAATAACCTGTAATACCTGGTCATCATTATTTGATCAACAACAGGTAATTCCCAAAAGAAAAGGGAGATAATTGACTCATTATGTTTTATGAATGGTTAGGAAATTATGGATTTTATTGAGTTTACTTAAGAGATTAACTGGAATACTATGTATGTGTACATAACTAATTTAAATTTTATAGAGGGACGTTGTTTTACTTCATTTTAGATCGGTTGTTTTTCTTCTATCTCGAAAATCATATTGCGCTGTTATTTACGTTTGCAAATGGTGTGCTAACAATATTTATTTGCACGAATTGACAAGGATGTGCCAATATTTGACAATGTAAAGATGTGCAGGTATTTGCACAAATGGAAGAATTTGTCAGTATTTGTAATTTAAACCATATCAGAGTGGTAGTTGGTTGTACATGTGTACTCATTCCATTGTGTAATCAATCATTTAATTATCAAGTAGCTGGTTATAATATAGTTATATAATATTATAGTTATTGGAACAATTAATCAATCATTATGATATATTAGACGAAGAGCAATTTTACAGAACGCTATTTTAAACCCTCCATCCAGTCAATACTAACTATACTTTTTAGTTATTCGAACAATTAATCATTATGATATATTAGACGAAAAGCAATTTTACAGAACGCTTTTTCAGATCAATGTTTTTTTTAAAACCCTTCCACCCAGTCGATACTAACTATACATTTTATTAACACAAGGTATAATTTTATGGATACACAATTACTGAGTTTAATACTAAGCAACGTTTTGACGAGGATATCAAGCAAATCGTCTTTATCCTCGTCGAAACGTTGCTTTGTATTAAACTCAGTAATTGTGTATCCATAAAATTGTACCTTGTGTTAATATGTTCAATTACTAAATGCTAATCAAAGAAGATATACTTTTTATGTGTAAAAACACTTAATGATAGGTATAAAAATTTGGAATAATGCATAAAATTATCACATTCTTTAGAAGAAAATATCTTGCTAATGTCCCCAAAATACATGACTGGCATGATTTGAAAGCCCTAAATATAGCTTTTGGAAAAGAGCTTTTCAAAATTTACCTTATATTAGTGAATATTTGATGTATTTCCTGTTGTAGCTGACCATCCATTTTAGGTTTAGTTAATGTTTTATGTATCTACTGTTATAGTTTACCATTAACCATTGGCTGTAGTCTTAAAACTGACCATTGGCTGTTATAGTTGACCATTGGCTGTTATAACTGACCATCAGCTGATATAGCTGACTATCAGCTGTTATAGCTGGCCATCGATACTGTACATTTCCATAAAATGACTAACCGGTAAAATTTTGATAATCGCTCCAAGTAGAAATTAACTTGTTCATAGATGAACTACAATATTTGTATTGACCAATCACTCTGTTAGTTTCTTTACCGAATAATTACCCAAGCTCTTTCGAGTAAAAACTATGGTCGTGTGCTCAATGTGCAAGTATGGGTCAAATATAATATTAAAATCTCCAGATTATTAATCAAACTAGCTGTTTACCCTGTGGTGCACGGATAGAGCCCACCAACTCTTATAAGAGTTTTGTGAAAATGGAAGTAGTAGAACTCTGAAACTGGAAGTAGTCACGCCCTGGCTCAAGCTGCCCTTAAACCCCAAATTACAGCCCTAGTGTTGCCACCACCCGAAAAAGATAAAGGACAGTCCCCACTATACGGATAAAAGCCACAGACACGTTCGTGCTTTTTACATTGTTACATATGAAAGTTGTTTACGAGTCTCTCAATTGTAAGGAACAGTTGAACTATGCCAGATAACTTTGAACTGAACAAATTTTATTTCAGAAATTGTTTTTAAAAAATATACCCTATACAAATGTATATGGCTTTGTACCTGAAATTTATACCCATACAATACAGCCATCGCTGATTTTAATGAGTATATTCTACATACCTCATGTTCTGAACATGGTTCAAAGTGAAATAAAATAAAATGTGGTTTTAATGTCTTAACCACTCGGGCTAATGATGGCAGGTATATGCCATGGAAATTTTGTCTGGACATAACGCTATGCCCAACTGTTATTTTGCAACTGTCAAGGTGATCTTTTAATTTTCTACCAATGGTACACACCATGGATGCTACTTCGCTCATAAATATTTCAGATATGTCCTACACGTTTTTCCAAATGTCCGACTAGGGACTGGTTGGGTTATTTTTATCTCATCCAGATAAGTAGACATTATTTCCTTCCAGACCTTGCTTTCTACACCAGACTGTTTAAACTGTCTCCATCAACACCCGGATTGAACCTGGGTCATCTGGTGAGTGAGCAATCCAGCACCCATGTTTCTGAAACAACGACTGCAAGTTTTACAACATTAGCCGTTACAAGATTGGTCTGATATTCATGAACTTATAGAAAAGTTATCCCCCTTTACTGCAGACATGTGAACCATAGTGTTGTTCAGATGTTGTGACACAAACACACTCAGATCATACATGGTGACCTCCGCAGAAACCTTGAACTTTGCAATTCAATTATCACAGGTAGACATTTTAGCTGGAAAGGGCGAGACTTGGTATTTGTGATAATATTTTCTATGGAGGAATCTGAGAGGTCCCCAGCTCGGTCAGTAGTCGGTCGAAATTAATGACGGAATATGCAGGATATTTTGTGAAGGGCTTGTTAAGATGTACGGAGTTAAAGCGAGACAATAATAATAATAGTTTATAAAGCGCCTACAATTCAACTCAGCAAGATGCACTGGGGCTGATCAAGCCTTCTGTTGAAGATGGACAGCACCATACTGACCGGCTCCTTGAACAGGGTTAAGTGACTGTTCTTGGAGAAAACTGAATCATCCATCATTCATCATGGGAAGTATTATCACTTTTAAGAATACAATAATGTAACTTATTTTATTGAAAATGAGGCGCGTTCAGAACTTGGGGTCTGTAGAATGTGTATCATACTCGTATACCAACTTTCATGATTGTAATGATTTTAAAAATAATTATGAATTAAATTAATGAAGTATAAAAATAATGTATCAATTATTTTGAAGTACTTAAAGCTAAATATGTATGCCATACATGCAGCATCACAATATATAAAAAGCTTTCTATTTATATACTTTGATAATTTTTGATATGGGTATTTGTGCAAATAAAACATTATGGTAATTATTGGAAACAATTAGTTGTCTTTTACTTTGGTTTTTATATGTCAACATGGAAATGTAATCGTATATTATCATCGCCCCAGTCCGTCCGTCTGTTTACATTTAGCATCTGATTGTTTTGAAATTGATATATGTTGTTTGCGTTAGTGAGATGAAGAATCCTATTTAATTTCTGTTTATTTCTTCGGGAGTTATGGCCCTTGTTTCAAATTTGGATTACAATGAGAGAGAAAGAGAAATGGGGGGTTTACCCCCACTTGACACAAACTAGGTCATTTCGGGACTAGCATATGGTTCAATTTCATTTCAATAATTCACTTCAATAGGGGTCTTTAGCAGTGGGAGGACCCGGAGAAAACTCACGAGGTTGCACAGGTGCTCGAAATCATGCCAGCTGACTCAATGATAGACCTAATGATGCTGCACGCACACGCTAACCATTCGGCCATCCAACCTTCCCAAGAGACACAGAGAAGCCTCTTGAATTTCAGCAATTTACGTTTATCAAGTCTATATGCACCACTGACAAGGAAAACCGAGGAACTTTCTCGATCAATACAAGAAGCGAACCCAAGACCTCCTGGTTAACATACCAACACAATACCCACTGAGCCACAGCGGCTCCAAAATGTTACATAAACCACAAACTACCTAGCTCAATATTATCTTTTTATTGAAAAAAATGTAGATATTTGAGAAACATGTAACAATATTTTGCAACAATATGTAAACCACACTTGAAACTAGACCAGTAGTTATCAAGACTTAAATCTTAAAACATACATACATGTCTGGGGCCAGTATTTTTTATAACATATCAAACTTATGCACGCTACTGGATCTTGACCGATCTGGAGAATATCTGTCAGTGTTTATACCCACAATTCTAACCTAACCCTTCAGAATAGTTTTAGCCATAATCCACCGTTGTTACAGCTTCAATTTTTACGTTTGACATGTAATTTATAAACCTAACCCTAACCCTGGAGAAAGATATTCTCCAGATGATACAAAGATCTAGTATTATTCCAAACGCATAACATGCTCAGTGGTTTTATTCACAACAATATTTTAGAAATTCAGCCTTTTCATTCGCTAATAGCTAGGATTTTAACTCTCATACAATGAAATAGCTGCCTCCTTAAAATATTTTGAGTCTTCCTGAATTGCGCACCAGGTTTTGCCATTTGGTTAGAATATGATATACTTGGCAAAACCCTTAGCATTAAAGGATTGTAGTTCTCCTACATTTATTATTTGATCAGTTCTAAGAAATTTCACAACAGACAATAATTGATGACTTTGAACTCTGGAGTTCTAAGGAATTTCATTAATGCAAGAATTGGCAACTATAAGCTATGGAGTCTTATAATCAGTGAAACACTGTTTTTGACAACAGTGTCCCTGTAAATTTAACAGACAAGAAATGACAACTTTGTGCTCTGTGCTCTGTTAATCAGTAAGACACTATATTTGATAACATTAATGTTCTTGTACATTTCTCTCAACAAGATAGCTATGTTCACTAACTGTTTACACCTATAATTGATACAACATAGTACAAACAACAGGGCCTATTTTAACATGCCTACAGGCATGAACATGCAGCAGAATTATGACAAATAACCAGGTGCACCAATTTGAATATTTTGTTGACACATTTTTGTGTGTTTAAATAACAATAAGAGTTTTGCCCCTTTATATTTTCGGTAAAATGTCTGACAAGAAAAATTTTGAAATTCCAACACTGCAAATAGCTCTGGATGAAGAATCTGTGCTTTGAAAATCTGAAATCTGTACTTTGACAAAATGCCTTGTGAATCTGGCCAAAGTGTATGGGGGGAAACTTGGCTATCATTATGATCATCGACCAATTTGATTTCTGTTTCAAAAGTTTTGTATTGTTGATGTATTCCCACCACCACCTAAAGCACGAAAATTACATAGCAGAACATCGCCAGGTGCAGGTTCATTTGCTTTTGGATCAACTGTTATTGATACTGACACACGTTTACAAATATAAATATGTTATAAAAGTGTAAGCATGATATCATGTTATCAGAAGTCAAATTCTGGAAATTATCTCGGAACCCCAAAACACTGGAAACCGTGCTTCACCAATAAAACTTTAAAATAGGCCCTGACAAACAAATATACTGCCCAACCAGTTAGTACTCGGTGTTAAAGAAGTTTGATTTCTGAACGGCTTTTACGAAACGAAACGGATGATAAATAATAATTGAAAGTAAATGCTGATGTCTTGAAATTACATCACTGTCATATTCAGTCTTAATTGTTGACCTGAAGTACCGAACCATTTTAGCCTGGAATATTTTTTAAGTTAAACACAGCTAATATTTTAAACCTTTACTTCAAAATTACTGCCCTATAATGAACCACTTATATACAACACCTATATCTTACCTTTCTTATAATACCAAGAAAACTTAATTAAGATTATTTGTAATTCCAGCATCACTGGATAAACTGGAACAAATAACCACAATGACATAATTACACCTGTGCCTTACCTGTCTTGTACCATTATTGGACCTGTACTTTTACCATTATTATAATACCAAGAAACGTTAATTAACATTATTTGTTATTCCCAGTACCACTGGATAAACTGGAACACATAACCACAATGACATAATTATTACGAACTTAATGCAAATCAACCAGACCTGTCACAATCTTTATACTTTTGATGGCCTCTACTGCATAAAGATCTGACCAGCTGTAGTGGGAGATTGCGTCAGGGGTCAAACATGCTGCTTTTGACCCTATGACGTCAGACATTTGATTAACCAATCAGAGTTGATGTTTCTAGTAGGATACCCACAGTTCCGTGCACCACATGCCAACAAGTCACTGCAACAAACTGTTTCTCACATCAACCAGAACGTGGGTTATTTTACAACCACAATGACATGATTATTACAAATTTCATGCAAATCAACCAAACCTGTCACAATCTGTTAAAATAAATTGATCATTTCAATAATGTAAAAGATGAATCGAAAAATAGAATAACAGTCCAAAAATGGTTCAATTCCCTTCAACATGATGAGTAGAAAATTTCACAACATTTAACATCCTCTACAGATGATAAAAAGAAACGCTAGCCAATCTGAATAAAATACAGATATATATTTTGTTTTTTTATACTTTTGATGGCCAACACTACATGAAGATCTGAACAGTTGTAGTGGGAGGAAGCCTCGGGGGTCATACGAGCAATGTTTGACCCAATGACGTCAGACATTTGATTAACCAATCAGCGTTGATGTTTATAGTGGGATACCCAGTTCCGTGCTTCGCGTGCAAAGAACTCGCTGCAACAGACCGTTTCATTGGCTAATCCATAACATCAACCAAAACATGAGTTATATAACAACTCTTCAAGATTCTAGAGTAGTTAAGACAAGTAAAACAAAATTTTGACAAAAACGAAATAGGATCTGTGTTTTAATCAGATTGAAGTGCTGTGTTTTCTTAATAGAACGGTATTATATAATCCATTTCAGTATATTTAAGCATTGATTAAGTTACGAAAAATTGTCTGAACAAGTACGATCTATTAGGGACCAGGAATTGACCATGCTGTTGGATGAAATTCAAAAATCTAATTCACCAAATCAATGCAGAATTGTTCAAAGAAAAAGCATGCCTGTTTTCATGTCGATCAGACTTAAACTGACGGAGAATTAGGTTGTTTTGAAGAGCGTCACTCCAAGAACAAAATGAGTAGCCGTTAGTGACCAGGCTCCCGAGTTCACAAAGCATTCTCAAAATTGTTCGCGCCTTATTTTAACTAAAACATAGCCCTTTACAAAACTTTTATTGATTTAATGTATCAAATATATCAATAAGAAACTATGTGCAAAGTTTTGTGTTTCTGGATCAAAGATATTTATCATAAACAGTGAATTTAAGTTGAGTAAATTCTTAATCCAAGTCTGAGAATGCTTTGTGAACTTGGGGCCAGTTCCTGGTCCAAAAATGTAAATGGCAATCAGCAAATTTAATTACCGATCCTTTAAATCAATCTAAACACTACATATAACCAAACCTATTAAATCCCTTGACACAATATAAATTTACATGAAAACTTAGGATTTTTAATTAACAAACAAAATATTTCATTAAAAAAAGCTCTCACAGTTCCATTTATACTCCTTGAGAAAACTTTGAACTACACTTTTACATAAATGAATAAAAAATTTCTATTTTCGAATTTCAATAGTTCGCTAACTGAGTGATATCTCCTCTTCTTCGGCTAAATCTACCATAGTTTCACAATCATCAGATTTTTTAGGAGAATCTAAATCATCTGATGATGTTTGCAAACCTTCAGCACCATTTGTTCTTACATCGTCACCATCTTGTTCCATTTCACTTTGTTTCTGCTTGATCTTTTGCAGTTTACGTCGTCTAGAGATTAAAAAAAAATATACTGTAAATATAGTATAAGCTAGATTAAAAAGAGAGAGAAAGAAAAAGAGAGAGAGAGAGAGAGAGAGAGGAGGTTTAACGTCCACTACGTCATTTTGGGACTAGCATGGTTCAATTTTATTTCAATGATTCACAGGTGTTTATTCATTCTATACTTATAAAAACATGGTAATGCACAGATTTTTTCTATTTTTCTTTCATGTTCTCTTATCTAGTGACAGTCAATTTTGTTTATGAATTGTCAGATATTCTTTCACAGTCCCATACAACAACTTTTGGTCTTCGAAGGAATTATTAGTGAGCAGAAATTCGCCCATGTATCTGTTATCACCCGTCACTTCAGTCAGTTATAATAGTGGGATAACTCGTGTTTTCCTTTTGCGTTCGTCACTTCCTATTGTTGAAACATTGATTACTCATCTATCGTAGCAATGATCTCTGTGATAAAATAATATTTGGAACGTGTTTAACCAGTTCTATCACATATGTGATAATGACTGGCACCAATATTGTCCTTTAATCAACTCTCGATGGCATCAGATTTCTTTGATATTAAATAGATTAGAATGGTTCAGCGATACTTTGATTTAATCAAATATGGAGGACCGAGACTTAGCTTCGATCAACCAGTACGGTGGTTGAAATTATTGCACACGTCTGTCAAACCTTCAAAGGCTAATATCTTCGCTTGCAATAGAGTAATTTGAATGAAATTTTCAAATTATTCATTTTACATCATCTACTTTCGAACTATTATAGCAAGAATGGCTAGTTCTTTATCTAAATCTTACATAATGTATCTTTAAGATCATACATAAACATAATTAAAAAGTACCTTTTATTGAAAAATAGTTTAAATATTACTCCAATCTTTAAATTTGAACTTTAAGAAGTTGGACATATCAACCGTACATTGGTTTCTTAAAATTTCACACCACCATCTTTCTCTAGCTTAGTAGACCAATATAATAATTATGCTATCCTTTTCATACAGTTGTGCGTGATAACTACAGCCTTCATATTTAAATTGTACATATTCTTGATACTTGAAATAGGAGGTTGGAACCCATGACTTGCTAGATAACAGGCCTTATGCACAGACAACTCAACTCTCAGGCCTCCATCCCCCAAACCAATATGTTACAGGCAATGCCTAGATCAATCTAACATCTGTCTTGGTACTTTTAATGACGTAGTTTCACAGTTTGTGTCTTGGATTAAACTAGAGCAGCGGTGGATCAGTAAGTTTGACGCTGGCTCGCCAGTCTGGAGGGCTCAGGTTCGCTCCTGTGTTGAAGTGGTAGAGGACAGAGGGTCTGACAAGGACAGCTGTCTAGTTGTATATAGGACGGAAAACCGAGGTCCCATGTATAAGTAGGCGTGCACTTAAAAGAACCAGTAACAACTGGAATTCAATGTATACTAGACAAAATTTCCCTCACAGAACACTGTATGGCCGTCTTCATTATCCGAGTCAGAGAAGAAAAGTAAGACGTTAAACCCCATTTCATTTCCATGACTACTGTTTTAATCAAACTGTTTGCTTTGTTGAAATATATATCCCAATAAAGAGGTTTGTAATTTACCTGGACTCTCTTGCAATTTTCACTTTAATTTTTTCTTCTTCAGCAAATATTTGTTTAATATTCGCTTTTGTAACATCCATATCCATCTTTAATAACTGTAGAAATACCCCACCAGGTGTTCTCCTTCTTTCTCCATTCTACATAATTATACAAAGAGATTATACAAATAATCATTCAAACAGCAACTTAAACAGCAAGCCTGGAAATAAGGCACCTGTCACTGACAATGTCAGGCACACAGATTCAGGCTTTGTCAGGCACTAAACATCTGGTGCCTGTCATTTTGTCTGGCACTGATTTGTCTTTTTTAATATTACTGTATTAATACATGTCCGGCACTAAGTTGAAAATGTAAGGTACTATTTCATTAGTGCCTGACATTTTGACTGGTACATGTAAAACCGTTATTTCCAGGCCTGTTAAACAGGCATTATACAAGAGCTAAATCTGCCTATTGCAGGTTTTTCTTTAGGCCTTAAATGTTACATAAACTATTAATTTATTTATTAACATGAGAAGACCATAATCAACTCTTGATGCCATCGGATGTCTGTGATATTAAGTAAATTTGAACAGTTTGGCCATTTAATGATTTAATTTAAAAATAGAGAAGCGTGGCTAAACTTCGAACAACCAGTACCTAATATCTTCGCTCAGAATACAGTAAGTTGAATGAAACTTTCAACCTATTCATTTTACATTATCTTATTTTGAACTATAATAGCAAGAATGGCTAGCTCTTTATCTAAACCTTAATTTATCTTTAAAATGATAAAAGCTGTGGTTGGGATTTTACCGATTTTATTCTTGAAATAAATCCAGTATTCATTTCAATTTCTGCTTATCTGATAATCTACTGAATTCACCTAAGAACAAATCTCATGCGTTTAATATTTTGGTTATCAACCTTCAGCTGAACAATAAATCTTATATATGCCAAATATTTCAAGAACTTACCATGACAAACATACCACCAGACTCCTCAACATCTTCAGTTAAATATAAAAGTTCTAAAGCCTTTCTTTTTCCTAATGTTTCTACAACTCGATCTGTAAGTAAGATTTTTATCAGATTTAAAAAAAAACCAATCAAATACAACAAAAATTTGTTGCAGACAGAGAGAGAGAGAAATGGAGTTAACGTCCACTCGACACAAACTAGGTTATTTCAGGACTAACATATGGTTCAATTTTATTTCAATAAATCGTTTGCGGGTAGGTGTCTTTCCCAGTGCGAGAAAAACAGAGGACTTGGAGAAAACCCACGAGGTTGGATAGGCAGCCCTAGCTACTCCTTGGGCTTCTGATAACTCAATGACGAACTTTCTGATACACCGCGCACACGCTAACCATTTGGCCACCCAACCACCCCGAAAGCAATTTACTTACGCATAAGATCAACTTTAGGTTCATTTAAACTTTTAACAATAGCATTGACAATTTGTGGCACTGAGTCTTCTGCTGTTGCACCAATATGCTCTCTGGATTTTGTTTTATCGAAAGTTCTTTTTCCAATTCTTAATTTTGCTGGCCTTTTTCTTTTTAAACCATGTGACCCTTCCTCGGGTTCTAAATCCACAATTTCGCCAAAAGGATCATCATGTGAAGGACCAACAGCAACAAGGTCAGGTTCAACACTTGGACGGGAATCTAAATGGGATTTTGTGTAATCGTAACTTTCTACATTTCTATCGCACTGTAAATCTCCATCTTTGTCAACTCCGAATCCGATGATGCCCTGAGTTAAAGTTTGTTCTTGTATCACAGCTCCCCAAATATTATTTTTCTTTTTATGAGAGGTTGTTGTGTTGCTATTATTTAGGAATCCAGAAGTAGGTTTTCTGGGTGAATGTATAAAATGTTCAGTTTTAGAATAATTGGGACCATTGTGTTTTGAACTAAATTCTTTGGCTCGATCAGAAGAGAGGTATTTAGCTCTTTTACGATTCCACAATTCCGAGTCTTCATCGCTGCTGGCATCCGATTCATCAGAGTATGCTGCATATGCACTAGATGACCTGTACGAGTTGACCTGTGCGTGTCTGTCTTCTAGTGATTTATTGGCAAGATTTGTTGTACACTGCACGATATCTGGTTGTAATGACTTCAACACTCCACTTGGACCAAGCTGTAAGACACAAATAAATATATAAATATTCAAAATAAAATGAAAACAATCTATTATAAGAATCGCAACATAAATTAACCAAAAGCCTCATTGAAAAAGTTTCATGGCATTATGAAAGTGTCTTTTGAATTTATTCACATAATCTTCAATACACCTCTTTTTATAACATGAAATTGAAAACATCTCATGCAAGTAAGTCCATCCTTGATCTTTTTTTTATGATATAACTACCAACTTATTTCTGCTAAAGTAGGAAAAGGTAAGACATATTTCTTCATACTAAAAGTTTTGTCATCATCACATGTTTAACAGAGGTGGGAACAAATCGTGAGACCTCGAGTCCCGAGTCATGTCAAATCTGATTAAAGATTAGATCCTATTTTGTTTTGTTTTTTATATTTGTCTTTTACTTGTCTTTACTACACTAGAATCTGGAAGAGTTATTATATAACCTGCATTCTGGTTGATGTGAAGGATTAGCTAATGAAACGGGCTGTTGCAGCGAGTTCTTGGTGTGCGATGCACAGAACTGTGGCTATCCTACTAGAAACATCAACGCTGATTGATTAATCAATGTCTGACGTCATAGAGACATTATTGAATTGATGATCAGTTGATTTTATCAGGTTTGGTTGATTAGCATGAAATTCATAATTATAAAATAACCTGCGTTCTGGTTGATGTGAGAGATTAGCCAATCAAATGGTTTGTTGCGGCAATTTCTTGGCATGCAGTGCACGGAACAGTGGGTTTTCTACTAGAAACATCAACGCTGATTGGTTAATCAATGTCGCTGACTTTAGTAGCAGGTCTAGTAGAGTTGAGTACCAAGGCTTCACAAAGCCCTAAAGTCAAGTCGCAAGTTCATCAAATGTGTCACCAAATCATGGTGAATAAAGCAAATTACAACTATTTTCCCTTACAAGGAGTCGATCGAGTCCTTAGCTCTTTCAAGTAACAAGTTGTCACGATGACTGCCGATAAATATTTCAGATCGAGTCAGTCGCACGTCTGATCTTTGATTGATGTCCGAGTTAACATGCCGGCGAGTTCCCTCCTCCGCTGTGTCTGAATCTGATATTTGATGTGGTGTGTTATTTGAAGTTTGACCGCAAAACACGTGGGGTTCATAGAGGATTCATAATTATATATAAGAAAGAAATTGATTTGGTGTCCATTAGGTTCCGTGGACAGCGCGAATTCAAGATAAAGAAAACGCACTAGTTAGTTATCATCACGTTTTTTTCGTCATGGTTTACATTTCCGGTCATGAAAAAAGTTGGTTTTTACTTTATTTTTTGAGTGGTTTAAAAATACAACATAGAAAACAAATAAACATATAGCTTAGCAACATAATTCTGTTGGGAAAATTACCCTTGAATCTTTAACTTCGTCTACATTTTCATTACTATCGGAATCAATCACTTCACCGTCTTCTAAGTCGTCCATTGTTGATAATGAGCTACCTTTATTACCTTCAACCTTGAAAAGTGGTGAAATTGCAGTTGTCTCCCCTAACGTTTACCTTGCGTTGGCTGTCTGCTTTGAGATTTATTTGTTAGGTGTTTTTATTTTTCAAGTTGCATGATAAAAGGGCTGTCACACCTCTTCAGGTGTAATTTTTTTTCGTATGATATGACAAAACTAAAGGCACGGTTCACTGAAGGGGTATTACAGGACTGGTTGTGTAGAAAATGCGGGGCCCAATTTGGGAGGCCAGACGTTACGAATAGGCCTACTAATTTTAACTAGGCCTGTATTCATTCATATTTAATAATTGATCATTTTTTTTTTTTTTTTAAAGTTGGTGAGTTTCGGGGCCTCTTTATAGTGCGGGGCCCTAGCTAGTGGGTATAATACGCATTTCTCATGGGGAGTAGAGAGCGACACCTATCAGTTAGTATAAGTATAGATAAGTAGATTCCCCTGACAGAAGAAAGGGAAATCAAGGATAAAAACTAGTTTTCATTACCGAAAAAAAACCCTAACATTTTTTCGGTAAGATTTTTTTGGTCAAGAGGGTCAGAGCAATACTGGCATCCACGTTAAAAAAGAAATGAAATGGGGTTTAACATCCTACGTTTCTACTCTGGGCTACATACGCCATACAGCGAGCTATGTACGTACTTTTGTCCGGACAGCATGCCAATGTGTACACGGGACCTTCGTTTTTCGTCAAATCCGAACGACTATATGTTGTCCCTTGCCAGGCCCTCTGTCCTGCACCACTGACAATGGGAAACCACGCCGGATAATCCCGATGAAGTTTCTCTGCCAATGCAGGAATCGAACGGGTTAACGAGCCAACGCCCGCGACTCCCCATTAAAGAAGAGTACCGGTAGACGGAAAAGTCGTAGCCTGTTTACATTTCTTTAGATTCATGAAACAAAATATTGGGGACAAAAACCGTTTGCTATATGGAAGATCAAAAGAATAATTGCAGTTTAGATAATGTCATGGTTTTGAAGTTAGCGAATACATTATCAAATAGAATTCAGTGGATCTCAGAGGTATAAAAGTGTCAACTTGCAGTCAATAGAAACTAAAGTGGATTTTAAATCGCTTCCGTAATTAGGGCTAATCCATTTGATTTTTATTTAAAACAACGTCAGTCGGCCTAGCGCAAAATTTGCAGGTCTGCCGGTATTTTTTTTTTTTTTTTTTTTTTTTTTTTACTTTGGTGAAGAAAACGGTGCATTAATTCCCTCGCCAGATTCAGATGTTACGGAAAATTTCCATAACCGTCTGCAAAATGTTAAACGGGGGGGGCCAAGAGGGAAACGTATTCCGTTTAAACGGTAAACCAAAACACCCAAGAACCGCACATCCTGACAATCCCTTAGTTTAAACGGTAAACCAAGACACCAAATACTGAACATCCATTAATGCCTGTTGTCCTTACGCCCAGTCCCCAGGGGTGTGGTGACTCATGATTTTGGAGGAGGAACAAGATCCCGTCCGCCCCCCCCCCCCAAAAAAAAACCCATCAAAAACAATATATGCGTGTGCGGGGGTGGGGTGGGATGACAGTCACTCCCAGTGCCACCGGGTAATATTGGGCTGAGTGGAATATGCTAGAGTTGATTTGTAGCATATCTGATCCACGGTATATGTTTGACACTTGTTCGGCATTATGATTATGAGTAACCGCATGGAAACCGCATGATGTTTGCCATTTGCAAGGGGGCGCAAAAATCTCAAGGGGGCGCAAAAACACAAAAGCATGGCGCAAACTTGCGCAAAGCACGTCATTGTGTCCCTGCAGTCCCACCGTACCGTAACAACATGATGACGTATTCTACATTTTATCTGTAACTGACCAAAACGGGGGTGGGGTGGGGGATGGCCGAACGGTTAGCACGTTCGCCCTGTATCATAAAGTCTGTCATTGAGTCAACTGGCGGGGTTTCGATTCCCGGGATTTACGTGACAAGGAGTAGGGTCGCGTGTCCAACCTCGTGGGTTTTCTCCGGGTCCTCCGGTTTCCTCCCACTGCTAAAAAGACCCCTACGCGTAAGCGAATTATTGAAATAAAATTAAACCATGTTTTAGTCCCGAAATGACCTAGTTTGTGTCGAGTGGACGTTAAACTTCATTTCTGTCTGTCTATCTGTAACAGACCAAAACGTATTCTCTTAATAAGCCTTGTCGGCCGTCAAGCATCAGGCCTAATTGTATTCCATAGAACTGTGGTGTGTATATGTTATCATATAGTTTGTTTTGAATTGATTTGTTGGTTGTGCATAATTTTCAATTCTATGTTGCACTTGTGTTGGAATGCAGTCGCTGTAATACCTCCTATGGATTCATCAAATGTATCTGTTTACTTGAGACAAGATCTTATCAGAACATCAGAACTACGGTTTCAACAATTCTCCGTTGCTAAGGTATTTCGTGTTGAAAAAATAATATTGTCGACAAAATATTATAATTTTTTTTTTTAAATCATTCATATTTTAATATTTGCGATTTTGTTTTCTGATATACTTCTGCTAAGTCACACCATTGATTCTCCGTGCTGTATTGTTCTCAATGTTCGATCTATCGATGTCAATCCACCCTCGGGAAAACGGCATTGTCGTCTGGTGAGATACTTTCGTGCTCCTAGCACGCTGTGATCGCTTTCCATAAATATGGCTGATCAGGCAGTGGTAAGGTGAGCTCAACATCTCTTTCTATTCTATGGAACATTGTGGTAGGTAGTCATCGCATCATTTAGTGGATTCCAATTTAATCCGCTCTCCTTGTTTTATCAGATTTCCTTATGAGTAAAAACGAAACCATTTTGTTAAAAAAAAAACCTGTCTGTTTATTTGTCATTTTAATATGTCAACATACGTGTATAATTTTCAGATTTCAGACCTGATTGAAATGGATCAATTCGTCGAGTTATAATTACAGAATTACTGTATATCAACAAACAGTGTGGATCTTTTATTTAATGAAATGTATTGCTGGTGAAGGTATTGTGGTTGAACTACGAATTCTCGAGCAATTAGCAATTAACTGTGCTTGCGCAAAACTTTTTACCAATTGGCATCAACGAAGAGTGTGCCATAAAAGCCAATTGATTTTAGTGAGTTAAAAAGGCTAGCTGTACTAATGAGAAAACAATCAACACGATTGGTGATTGCTTCTCGTTTGATATGCCTGCCCAGTAATTAACCGCGGGGTTGAATTCGGCCCATTTGTTAAACTGTTTATCGAACGCGGAGTCGTCGTGGAGAATCAACACGTGTTGTGCTTTAATTTTAAATCATCGACATCTCTTTCATAAACCCACGTCGTGCCTACAAAACTAATGTGATAATTATTATAGTGATACTATGGCGGAAAAGGAGGATATATTATTCGTTTTGACGTAAATTTAAACCTAGAAAAAAAGAAGAAAAATGGACACACCAGACAAATTAGGAGATCGGCGGCTCAGATTAAATGTTGGAGGCGTTCGTTTTGAGACGTTGAAGAGTACATTGGAACTGAAACCCGGTACCAGATTAGCTCTTCTAGCACATCTCCAGGAATCCGACGAAACTTGGGATGGGGATACAGACGAGTACTTCTTTGACCGCCACCCAGGAGCTTTTACAGCCATCTTACAGTATTATCGAACCGATGAACTACATACAGATCATAATATCTGTGGAAATATAATAAAAGGGGTAAGTTTTACTTATCGATGGTCGTGGTATGATCTCTTGAAATTGGTCCGAGTTCACTGACCTCGAATCACCCAGGTTTTGCTTCAAGGTGCTAGCACCATACGATATTTAATCGCCGCTCGGATCCTCTTTTTCTTCTCTTCAGGCTCAGTTGGCCTGTGACCGCACGCAACCGTTCGTGACCGCACGCAACCGTTCATGACCGCAAACAACCGTTAATGACAACAAGCAACCGTTCACGACCGCAAGCAACCGTTCATGGCCATGCAGAACTTGATAAAGCTCGATGGAAAACACGTATTTTTCAATAGGCGGAGTCGAACTTGTTTTTATATAAACATCCATTCTTTGCTTGTTAAAGACAAGAACACCTTCGTCGAAACGTCGCCAATATAAATCCCCCAAGTAACTTGTATTCCAAATAATCGAGTTGTTTGTTATTCTCATTCCGTTACTAAATGCTGCTCGAACAATTTAAACATTCATTTGATAAATGTTTCAGATGATTTTGATACATATTTGAGATTTGTGAAATCATAGTCACCTAGAAATCCGACCTGATAATATCTTAAAAAGACACGTAAATTCATACACAATATTATGACTGTCAAGAAAGCTAATTAAAAAAAATAATTTAAATACAGATGTGACGTCACCCTTTGATGTTGGCGTACCATTATTTCTAATAATCGTTAGGGCAACTTGCCAATCGTACATTATTTATACTAGTGAAATATTGGACTCGCGTGACGTATTTCGCTGTAAAAGCACGTGCGGAGTGTCTGTATTTTAAGTCGTTTAATGGTCTGGAGCTTAAGACATTGCGTAATATATTGTAAAATCACTCGCGCCTACGACCCTATTGTTGTTACACTATATTACTTAATGTCTCGCTCTCGACCTTTAAACAATAAATAATTAGTCGTCTAGTCGGAGAACGCTAGATCGGAGGCGGTCCTGCTCATATGACGTCATGTGTGGATTGTTGGTTAGGGTTAAGGCAAGGGTTAGGCTTTAGTTAGGGTTAGCCCTAGCCTTGTTTACATCTTGAGGCTCTGACGAAATCTACAGGTCTCAACCCTTGCCTTAACCCTAACCCACAATCCACGTAATATGACGTCATATGTGCTAAAAAATGTGCAGGACCGTCATCGATCTAGCGTTCTCCCGTCTAGTCATCGAAAATCACATATTCATTGTCTAGACGTAATACATGTATATTAAAACAAACTGAATCACATAAGATTAGTTTCTAAATTCAATCATGAGATACTGATTTCATGAATTTATTTTCTAAATTCAATCATTGAGATATTGATTTCATGAAAACCGTTATAGCCATGTTTTTAAATCAATGCTATATATTATAGACCTGTTGAATGAACGGAGATTAATTATTTGATAAGAACACTAGAATAAATTAAAGTTAACGAGTCTCTTGTTTTAGATTAAATGTGTTAATTAGAAGTTTAATACCGAAAAACGTATGTCATTATTTATAAACATCTGTTACTTAGGTTTAAAAAACAAAACACAAAAATACCCAACTTGTGAAAAACATAAAATGTATTAACATGACAATAGGTTGATGCAACACAAACCATAACATGACAGAAGGGCGTGACAACATGAATACCGCCATAATTAGGGAATTGTTATTCGTATGAATATTCATTATGTTTGTTTTTTTTGGGTTGTTTTTTTTTAAACTGATTCAACATTAAAATGGCAGGTTATATCGGTGCTCGTATACAAATAACCTTCGAAAAATCCCGGTGAATGTCACTTAATGTTATATTCGCCTAAATCCGTATAATTTGTGGAATACCGAACCTCTACCCCCCCCCCCCTCTCCGGACACACACACGTTATTTTGCATATTAGAGCCTGTATAACTCACTGGTAAACATCAAGTTCAAACATGGCATCTAATTTTGGGGACCAGGAATCGCACCGATCGGCGTAACAATTCCAAGATGGTGGCGATGACGTAATACCGAAGAGAGACAGGGGGTGTTTAACGTCCACTCGACACAACCTATGTCATTTCGGGACTAACATTTGGTTCAGTTGTATTTCAATAATTGGACCGAGAAGAAGCTTCGGGATATTTCAAGGCCTCTCTCGGTTGTACGTGACAAGGAGTAGGGTCGCCTGTCCAACCTCGTAGGTTTTCTCCGGGTCCTCCGTTTTCCCCCAACTGCTAAGGACCCCGACGCACAAGCGAATTTCTGAAATAAAATTTAACCATATGTTAATCCCGAAATGACCTAGTTTGTGACGAGTGGACGTTAAACCTCTTTGTCTCTCTCTCCAGCAGTAAGCATCGTCACGTGTTCGTCCCCGTGTGGGCCTCATTTTCTCGTTTCATCCGAAGCAATAAACCAACATAGATCTCTAACTTCCTTGCGTGTACGCTTTGCCCATCCATGATAACAAATGAGAAAATTAATCAAATATGCCCACACATACCATTATACAGAACATAAAAAACATTGAAACACTAAAAGAAATATTATTTTTCAATTACTTCTAGCTTAGTGTATTTGTCAGTGTCTTGAATACATGCTAAATCTTTTACAATTTCCTTTCAACGATCAATAAAAGCAACACCGGTCTATTTATACGTCATGACAATGTTTGAGGACAAACTGTAGATTTTATTGCCCACGGCTATTATGTAAAATTCCATCATTCGATGTAAAGTTTTGACAAGTTTGTGTCGTTTCCAAGGAAATATGCGGGATGTATTTTTATGTTATTTATTTGAAGGAGTAGTTGATTGCTATATTCGGACTATTATTAGCAGGTAGCTCATAAGGTCTAATTTGTTTTCATGCTATATCCGGCACTTCAATGCGATTTGTATATCCGTTTATTTTCTGTGGAAGTGTATTATCCTCAGGGGCGGATTGGACCATCGGGCCGGTCGGACAAAAGATGAAAAAAATAATTTTGTCCAATTAGTCTCAAAAAAAAACTTTTCTGCTGAACATTATATTGGGGGTGGGGGGGTATTGGACCGGCCATGGAGCGATGATGATCATGTTGTATGTGGCCGGTGGCTTTAACTGGCCGCCACGCCATCACTGGAGTCTGGAATGGGCTGGTAGAATAGACTTTCTGTGCTGGGTGTGGGCCGGAATTCCTAATTTCATCCGAAAATTTCATAGGATTCACCCGACACTGTCACCCGCAAATTTACTAATTATTAAGTCACCTGCACCCTGTTTGTGGGGATACGCCAGAAACGTCTGCCGATGGTTCGTAACTCCCAAAATATTCAATTTTAAGGCCTCAGCAAAATTTGATGAAAGCTGGTCTGCTGGCTGAATATGAGTGTGAGACGATTTCCTGAGGCTGGTGTTTAAAAACATTTTTATTAACTCGTTATTTTCAGAGATGAAATTACAGAATTTGGAAATGGCCTCCCATGTCCAAAAATTCAAAAATGAATTGTGTCCCGTACGTACGCCTATGCATGTCCGCTCCCACTCCGTCAAGGCCACCTGTTATTCAATATTCCTAACTGGTTAATCAAATGGTAAAATTTTTCTCAACTAGTCCCATTTTTTAACCAGTTAAATTCTCTTGACTCTTGACGATACAATGATAATATGTTAATTAATAATATGACGATATGATAATTTCACAGGTTGATGGTTGGTAAATTGCTTGCAGGTCGGGATTTTGGCCTAAATTAATCGATTTATAAGATATATTATTTGACAGAGATTATAATCAGATATGCCACCAAATCGCATATTTGGGGTTCATTTTTAAAAATTTTCCCGTGGAGGGGCCGCTCCGACACGGGAGCCCGGGCCGGTTTCCGGCCCCAATTCGCCCCTGATTATCCTCATCCCCATACGCCAACAAACCCTCCACAAGGAAATTAAATGTCCTGTATATTGACCCAGAGTTTCCTTCAAGGTCAATTAAATAAAAATAGTTTCATTTTAATAATAAAAAAAGTTCCTTTTTATATAAAGAAAGTGGTTCCCTTGAAATAAAAGAAAGTGGTTCCCTTGAAATAAAAGAAAGTAGTTCCTTTTTAATTGATCAATCAAATTCATGGAAAGCGATATCGCCTCAGATTATGTAATTTATCACACAAGCGATATCTACTGTAGAATGTATTATTGGGTGATAAATCTGTGATAACATGGTCTGTAATAGGGTACCGGTAGGATAATGCGAACTCAAACCCAGATCGAGAGTGGGGGATGGTCGAGAGAGGACGACAACACCGGGCATGCAGTTCAGGGGGCGTCATATCAAGCAGTAAAATTAAATTAAGTTGTTTGAAATTTGAAATTATCGCTGTTAACCTAGCTGTTCTTTCAGATTTAAAATGTCTTCCATTCTCACATAAAATTCTAGTCTTGAATCTAATCATCTTCAATAGAAGGTTTGCTCTCGCTTTAACTACGTACATCTTATGAAGGTGTTGTAATACTTGCAGTCGTTGCTTCAGGAACATGGAATCTAATGGGCATACCATCACCGAACCTTCGGTCTATTTTAAGGACATTTTCTCGGAGCACGCCCCCCCCCCCCCCGGCCACGTTAATTCTATTGTTGAAAAATGCAGGGTCTCTAGCGTTAACATCTGCGGAAACTGGACGAAGTCACTGCCAAAACAATGATGGGCCTCTCTTCAATGATACCTGAAGCGCCTTTTTACCCAAACTGAAACTTTCTGAGAGCACGCTTTCTTTTTTCTCAGAGCACTGTTTACGCTCATCAGAGCACGGTTTTCGCTCACCAAAGTACAGTTCTCGCTCATCAGAGCATGGATGTGCTCCAAGGCACGTTAAAATATGCCCTGCCAAACCTCTGTACGCCACTACTCAGATCTAATGAACTAAGATGATGAATATTCTCAAGGGGATGGAGCTAGTGTCTAGAACAGAAACCAGATGTTAAGATTACACCCACTCTGGCTGGATACAATAAGGTCAGAATTAGTTTTCATTTTTGGCGGAAGGGTTCTTAAA